AGAAAGAAAGAAAGAAAGAAAGAAAGAAAGAAAGAAAGAAAGAAAGAAAGAAAGAAAGAAAGAAAGAAAGAAAGAAAGAAAGAAAAGAAAGAAGGAAAGAAACCCCTGGTAAGCAATTCTACTCTGTAATGCTCGGGGTCACCATGAGTCAGAATTCATTCAAAGGCAATCAGATGTAAGAAAGACTACCTGGTGATTTCTATCTGAAAGATCACAACTATTAAAAATCTTCTAGAAAACAAAAACCAAAAAAAATTCCAAGAACCCCTCCAGAGCGCAGGTCAATGTACCATTGAGCCGGAACTGACCCACAGCTGACCCTCCAGCAGGTTTTCAGAAGCAGTTACTTGCCTGGGAGGAGACCGCCCATCCTCCTCCAGCAAAGCAGCTGATGGCCTCAAACAGCATGCCTTTAGGATTGCAGGGCAGCTTCTCTCCAGTAGGCCACCAGAACTCCCGCATAGATCACTACAAGTTGGAATTAACCTGACAGCAACTAGTTTTGCATTTGTTGGTTTGTTTTTACTCTTCTAGACACACATACATCACAGCTCACATTCGGGGAGCTCCCGCACACTCAACCCAGCCACTTTGCTAGAACTGAAACAAAGAGCCTTCGTTCACCACACATGCCAGGCTGTGTGACTTGCTCGGGAGCAGAGTCAGGCCTGGGTCTCACTTCCGCTTCCCCCGTGGAAGTCTCCAGCCCTTGTGCCAGACATCTTGAGAACAATATCTGAAAGCAGCCCCTGCAAGCCACGGATGTGTATATAGCAGGTACTAGAAACACCCAGGGGAAAAGGCCAATTAATTCTGGTCAAAGACAAGATAGAGACAGGGGTGGGGTGGGGAGAATCTATTGAATGTGAATATTAAACTAAGACAAGACACTCCAGGCAAAAGCATGGAGGCAGGAAGCAGCCAGTGAATGGTGAGGGGTGCCGGTGCCCAGGGCAGGGCCTGGAGGGAGCGACTCTTCACTTCACCCGCCTCTCTGCCAACTTACTGTATCAGCTAAACAGAGGCCTCAGCCTCTGGATCTCGAGATGGGGTAGAACAAAGACAGTCTCACTCATTTTCCATGGCCCTGTGTTTCAGCAGTGTCAACAATAGTAACACTAATAGTTAATATGTATTAAATATTTACAGTCACACACTGGGCTAAGTGCTTTACAGGCATTAGCTCATTTCATCCTCAAACCACCTTGGAAATAAGTGCTGTTATTATTTCCACTTTACAGATGAGGCTGAGCGGGGTTAAGTTATGTGCTTAAGGTCGCACAGCTCTTTTGTGGTGGAAGGATTGGAATGTAGATCTGACTATCGAGGGAGAGTTCCGGTGGTGTAGTCTGTAGGGAGTTGTGCTGCTAACCCAATGGTAGTGATTTTCTGGTGGTTCGAATCCACCAGCGACTCTGAGGAAGAAGATGAGCAATCTCCTCCCATGAGATATACGTTCTCCTGAGAACTCACTGGAGGGTCAGCTATGAGTCAGTTCTGCCTTGATGACAATGAGTTCTTTCTAACTACAGAGCCCTGGTCCTAGGTAGATGGTTAAGTGGGTGAACAGATGGATTGATGGGTAGGTAGGCAGGTAATACAGGTGGCTAGTGGCTGGATGGATGGAGAGGAACTAGATTTTTTTTCTTTCAGGGAATTCCTGTTATTGCGTTTATTGTTGCTGATTGCCATCAAATCGAGAATGACTTATAGTGACTTTATAACCATCATCATTTATCACAGTTCATAGAATTTCCAGAGGCATGTTGTTTAAGAAGTGGATGCCACTGCTGCCTCCAATATATTTAGTTTGAGGAAGTGAATTTTGAGCTCTGAGAAAGCAGGTCCTTCTTTTTTGCTTGTCTGCTTGCTTCAGTAATAGTTCTGCCAAAAGAGGAACTAGATTGAGAAGGACCTTGAATGCCATGTTGCTGTTGTTATATGCTGTCAAGTCAGAATCAACTTAGAGCTGCCACTCCAGTGGGTTTTCGGAGGCAGTAAATAGCCCTGGAGTTTACTGCCTCTTTTTCTCCCACAGAGCAGCTATTGGATTTGAACTGTGTGCTTTTGGGTTGGCAACACCGTTCCTTACCACTAGGTCACCAGACCTTGAATTCCAGATGCAATAAGGGGACCCAAAAGGTTGGAAGCAGGAAGAAGACTGTTTAGAATGGAAAACGTGAGGTAGGAGGTGATTTTTTCCTGTTTAATTTTAATTGCATATTGTGAGAAGTTCCTCCCCGCCCCACTTTTTAGCACTGTGTTATTTCTCAGGGCCTGGGGAAGGTAGGGGGTAGGAACAATCACTTCTATGAACATAATGGGCTATTAGTGGAAGAGCCAAAGGGAGCACAGAGTCTTGGGAGAGGACAGTCAAGTGAGAGAGAGGGGCGCAGCAACAAGAGGGGTTTCTGTGAGGAGGGTGTTCAGGGTTGGGAGGACACCCAGAGCCTGGGAAAGTCGTTCTCAGGGATAAAAGCTGAATGGAGACAAGTGGTAGACATACTGGCTAAGTCCAGAGGCCCTCCGTCTCCAGGCCCCACACATTGCCCCTTTGTGCACCTGGGAGGGAACGCAGCCAAAGGTGAGGCAGGTGTTGCATCAGGTGCTAAGCCCATGGATCAAGTGTTGCGAGGTAAGGAGCTCGGTCCCTCCTTCTGAGGCAGTGTCCCAACACCATTGGCCTTTCTAGACAATAAATGACCTGGGGGAGGGAGGTCAGATAAGATGAAGAAAGGGAGCAGGACAGGTGGAAGGGCCAGAGAACAAGCACAGCTTCCTCTGCTAGCAGAGCCAAGGAGAGGCTGGAGGTGGTGTCTTCAAGCCAAGAGGGGCTCCCTACGGGTGCCAGGCCAGCACCGCAGCCACCATGCAGCTCTGCCTCCCCTTGGTCCTCCTGATGGTGCTGTCTGTGTGCACTGTGGCAGGGGACAGCGGAGAGGAGCTGCTACTCAGCGCTGAAGCCGGGCCCTGGGTAACTGTGACCCTGGAGGGGGGAGAGGCTCTGCCCAGAGCATGGTGGCGGGGGCAGAAGACTCCTACCCTGGCTGCACGAGAGCAGGTTGTACAAGGCAAGGCAGGATGTCTGACTCCCTCTCTGCGGGTAGGTTCAAGGCCGTGGCCCCTGACCAGGTAGACAGCAAAGGGGTATAAGCACAGCAGAGCAACAGAGAGTGTGAGTGTGTGGGTGTGCATGCATACGTTTGTTTAACTAAGACTTATTTAGCACAAGTTCTATTTCTGCCACTTCGAAATGCTTTACTAACTCATTTATCCTTACATCAACCTTATGAAGTTAATATGGTGGTGGTGGTTGTTAGGGACCATTGAGTCAGAGCCGACCCAAGCTGATCCTCCAGCAGGTTTTCCAAAGCAGTTAATCACATGGGAGGCGACTGCTCACCCTTCTCCTGAGGAGCAGCTGGTAGATTCGAACTGTGTGCCTTCAGGATTGCAGCACAGCTTTGTACCACCAACGCTCCACCAGAGCTCCCTTGATACCATTACCACTCCAATTTTGCAGATGAGGAAACAGACATAGAGAGGTCAAGAACCTTATCCATATGGGACAAGGCTGAATGTGGCTCCTCCACCTTCCTGGATCGATGAGGACATGGGACCGTTCTTAGCAGTCCCGCAACACGATGCGGTCCCGGGAAACCATAGTCCTCGGAGATGGAACCTCTGGAAGAGAGAGCTGCTGTACATGAAAGCATGTGGTTGAGAAGACAGGAAGACTGGGAGGACTGAGTTCAAGTCTTAGCTTCTCCAGTGACTCCATGTAGCCTTGGAAGAAGGTCAATGCAACTTTCGAGACATCAGCTTTCTCATCTTTAAATTGAGAGAGGAAAAATGAAATCATTCCCAATGGTTTGGTTTTTTTCCTTCACGCTTTGACGGACTTTATAGAGTCAGTGAAGAAGCTGCGGGTGCCTGGCCCAGCGACAGAAAAGCTGAGCCGTGTGATAAGTATTCTCTACGCAGCCACACGCACAATCTCATCAAGAATCCCACTAGTGCTAATGCTGCTGGGCCTCCCACACAGGTGCTCTCACCCCAACGTCAGGTCTAATCTTTGTCTTTTTATTCTCCTCAATTACGCCTCTTTTTCCAAAAACACAGGGCTTGGGATGCAGGAGAAGTTGTGGGTTAGCATTCAGGAAGAATTCAGAGTCACAGCGGGTTGCTCTGTATGGATACAGGGAAGGAGACGGGAGGAAGGGAGGCATCTTCAGGTATGTTCTGGTTGCCTTCCTAGCTCTTGGGCCTCACTGGCCTGTAGTTATCAATGGAGCTGAGATTTTAATGAAACGGACGTAATCCTAGGTAGGGACAAGAGTATTACGTGAAAGACCAAGAACAGATATGTCCTAATGACCGCCAGAAACACAGTTGGCAAGGAAAGGGCGACTCGATTCATAAACGACCACTCTCTCCAGTCTGCCCTTGAAGGCTGCTTCATACCAAGGCAAAGTGGTTTTCATGAGCTGTTCAGAAATGGATCTAACTCTCCAAAGAGCCTTTTCCAGTTCCTGGCCAGGCTGAGTGACTCCAACCGGAGACAACTGCCCCAGCCACCCATTTGTCTCCTAGGCAAGAGACAAATAAAAAGAGACTGAATTAGTCTAAAGCATAGGAAACAATCCACTTCTGATCCTGAAAGTTAATCAAGGTGAGTTGTGAGAAGCAAAGGAGTTTATACTGCATCCTGGGCCCAGGCACTCTGGTACTTCTGTGGAAACTGGAGATCAAAGAAAGAGCCCCTGATCCAATTCCTGCAAACAGGGGAAGTGTTTGCCTGTCTCCATGTCTTGTTCCACGCCCACATGGACAGTGGGAGGGCCCTCACTGGGCATTCTGTATTCACAGGTGCTGAGCTCCTGTGTTCACCAGAGCCTGTTCCAGGTCCTTAAGGGGGTACAGAGATACAAGAACAAACTAATGCATGCCACCACCACTCTCTCAACTCTTTCTTCTTTTCAGCAGATCTGAACAAGCTTTAAGGATCAAGATGAGGCCAGAGAGGGAGAGGACTTCAGCCAGGTCACAAAGACTAATGGAAAAACTAGAAACGAATGTCCTTGCTCAGGGTCGTAACTTCCCCCCTCAGACCATGAGCCATCTGAGGGGCCCAGGCCTTAGAGCAGGGTATGACCAGGACAATGGGAAAGTGTGAAAGGGAGGGAGAAGCCGTCCCAACGCCTGGGGCCCTCCCAGGCTCCTTCCACACCTCTTTATCTGTGGTGGAGCCATCTCCCAAGACAAAGCAGAACTTAGACTTCCTGGTTTAAGTCCTGGCTATAATAATACTTCCTTGTGTGACCTTGGCCAGGTCACTTAACCTCTCTGAAATACAGTTCCTCATTTGCAATGTGGAGAGAAATGCAACATGGAAGATGAAATGAGATTTTTTTTTAACTCCAGTTTGTTTGAAAGCCTGGCTTTTGAACCAGGTGAACAGGAATATGATTTTTTTTAATTATGCTGAATTCATATACACTGTGTTTTACACAATCATTCGTATTAGGGAACAATTTCTGGCTTTATTTCTCCCTTCCTAGCTGGGTGCACTTGGACAAATTCTTTACTCTCTCTCTGAGCCTCATTTCTGTCTGTAAGATGATGATAGTAGTAGTAATACTTAGCTAATGGGGTTTTGATGAGGATTAAATGAATATACATTAAAGTGCTTAGAAGAGTGCCAGAAAGGAGCACACTAGCCATCTGTCATTTATGTATATCAGTGTGTGAACGATGCAACATAAAGTTCAGAGGCAGCACCATGTCCTCGGACGTGGGCCGTGGTTACTGAGATGACGACCGCTCAGGCGCTCAGGCTGCCCCCTCACCACATCTCCCCAGTTCTAACTCTCTGCTTCTCCAGGAAGGTGCTGTGTCCAGCATTCAGATCCACCTGCAGGAAGTGAAAAGGGGCAAGACAAGACAGTTCTTTGGGCTGATGGGGAAGCGGGGAAGAGGTGAGTGATGAAGGCGGGCAGAGCCAAGGAGGGGGTTCTCCAGGGGTTTCCAACAAGACAACCTAGGTTCAAGCCCAGGCCCTGGGTCAGTTATGTAATCCAGGAAGGGACACTCACTCAGAGGGATGAAGGTCATTATTGTTGTCAAGTACCATCTAGTCAAACACAACTTACAGTGACCCTATGAACAGTGCATCTGAACCTTACCCTATCCTGTGCCGTCCTCATCTGATATTTCAGTCCACTGTCATTGACCATCACTGTGTCAATCCATCTTACTAAATGTCTTCTCTTTGTTTTACTTGATAGAGAGAGATGTATATATAGATATTTATTTGCACACAAAATGTGTATACATTGTGTTCCATGTATGCATACTGTTTCATAACATCCCTTCAACACAGTTTCATTTGATCATTCCTATACATTGTTTTATAAAATCAATCACTATTGACCTATGCCTACTATTACTCTGTCTTTTCAGATCCCCATGGGATCTTTCCTGATTCCTTTACTCTCTCCCTCTGCCCACCAACCTCTGTCATCCTAGAGATCTCCCTCCTCCTACTCTGCGCCCCTGTTCATTTCCCTTCCCCTTTTGGACTTTGATACACATCTTTCTAATTATCCTTCTATTTTTACAATAATGGTCTTACGCAGTACTTATCCTTATGAAACTGAGTTAGTTCACTCAGCATAATGTTCTCTAGACTCTCCCATGTTCTGTAGTATTTTACAAAATTGTAGCTCCTTAGTGCTGCATAGCATTCCATTGTGCGAATGTACCATGATTTCCCGATTTGTTTGCTCATGGACATCTGGGCTGTTTCCATTTTCTTTTCTGCTGTGAACACAGGTGTACAAAACTCCATCTGTGTCTCAGTTCTATTTTCCTCAGGGTATATGCGTCATATGCTATGGCATCTAACAATACCATATGTGCATATATATAAATATAAAATATTAAAAACTTCTAGAAGGATAAACATCAAATTGCCAATAGCAGTGCACAACAGTCTTCCCTGAATAATCAGTGAGGAGTCTGTGGCACCGTGATGGCTAAGCACTCAGCTATTACCTGAAAGGTCAGTGCCTCGAGCCCACCAGCCTGTTTCACGGGAGAAAGACGTGGTAATCTGCTTCTGCAGACATCTACTGCCTTGAAAATCTCATGGGCTGTTCCACTTGGTCCTATAGGGTGGTTATGAGTCAGATCAACTCGATAATGGTTTTAGTAAAAATCAATGTGGAATTTGAGACTCAGATTAAGTACTTTTCCCAAGGACACACAGCCCAGGCGCCTTCTGACTCCACACCTCCGTGTTCCCCACTGTGCCACTGGCTTCCTGTAAGGAGCACTCCAAGTGGCTCAGCCACACAAGCAAACATACCAGAGGCACCAGACCCCAAAAGCCTTGAGCCCTTCCTACCACACTGAGCCTTCAGTGAAGTACTATCCTCAAGCCTGATTTTTCTTTCTCCAGGAATGTCATCAATCAAGCCAGTAAGAACAACAGGTCAGTGGTCCTCCTAGACCCTCTCATCATCTTCTTTCTGGGGACAATAGTTAGCGAGGATGGGGAGAGGCTGGCCAGGGACTCACCAGGCTGACAGGGTCCTGCAGAGGCCTGGACAGAGTCTTGTAGTTGTTGTCTATGGACGGTCTGTGTCACACAGGGAGTGGGCACAGTGGTAAAAGATGATGGGGATGTCCAAATGTCAAATGTCCAGTTACCCTGAGTCTAATGCCCAGGGTGGAACAAAAACATCAGTCCCCAAAGAGGAACACTCAAGGCTTCAAGCTGTTCTCCACCTTGCAACAGGTATCAGAAAAGTGCAAATCTGAGCAGCTACCCTCCTGCTTAAAACCTCGGTGAAAACAGGAACCAAGCAAACCTTTCCCTATCACCACCCTTGTGTGCTCTCAGGATAAAAACCAAGCCCTAACACGACTCACAGGTTCCTAGCCCCGTCTCTCATTGGTCCTTCCTTGACCATCTCCCCTATTCAGGGCACACTACACTGCACTCTTCTGCTGGTACCAGTCACTCATGTCCCCAGACTGCAAACTCCCCAGGGACAGGCATCAGACCTACGACTGGCTCTATATTCCTAACCTCCAGCACAGTTTCTGCCTATCAGAGGCACACACTAGGTATTTGTAGAAGGTAGAGAAGGGAGGTAAAGGAGAAGAGAATAATCAGCAGATTTATCAGTGAAGGAATGAACCAATTCATGGTTCACATCAACGCCCAAGATGACTAAGAAATTATTGCGTGGAGAAGGCCCCAGCTTCCCAAGCCAGCCTTCTGTGCTTCACGCTCTTTCTCCTCTCTCTGTCAGCAGCTTCTCAGGAAGGACAAGTGGGCCAGGGCCCCCTGGGCAGAAGAGGACCACCTGCAAGAGGTAGGTCGGAATCTCCCATGAGTAACATGGGGAAGTGGCCAGACAGTATGTTACCAATCTCCAAGAAAGTGGTTAGGCAGGTAGCCAGACCAAACAGCTTGGGAAGCCATGAGGTAGAGGCTGCATAGGAGAGGGCTGCTGAGGTGCAGGGAGTGGCCCTCGTGATGATTCAGGTCACATGACTGAAATAGCTGTAGCTCTTATGCTTCATCTCCCCTCCCTCCAGGACACTCAGGCACATGGTCCCAAGGGGCTAACAGAATACACAAAAGATTGCTAGCAGTCTTCCAGGTCCTAGAACATTCCCCTTGTACCCTCATTGTCCTCAAAGTTCTAATCATTGATCATTAGAGTCAGACATTTCTTTAGTCTTGGGAGACTTTCTGCCTTCAACAGCTGCAAATAAGTACAAAATAATCCTGGGAGGAATAATGCCCTAAAAGTAGCTATCAGCTAATACCTCTGGCAGGGACCACATAGTTATATAGTCCTAAGGGGCCAGGACTGAAAGTAAATAAAGGAAGTCAACTATGAAAAAGAACTGCAGCTCAAATGGCCTGACGACACAGGCAGCACAGTGGGTGCCCAGTCCAGCCCTGGACCCACACGCTGCGTTCCAGTCTGCCTTCCCTAACAACCGGCCTCTTCCTGAAGACTAGTAGACCCCCAGGGCTCTCCCTGGCTTCCCTGATGACGCATCCACTCATTCCAACACACACTGGTCCTGGGGAGCTAAGATGTTCTGTACTGTCCTTTTAAAAGTGGTGGGTTTTTTTAAATTCATCCCATCCAAAGGGTCATGGGAGTCACTTCCAAGAGCAATAGACATGTACAGCCCTTCCTGTTGTTTTATGCACAGGAATCTTAGAAGGAACTTTTCAGAGATGGAAAGCAACTTGCCCCAAGCCACACGCTGAGCTGGTAACAGGGCCAGGACTCAAAGCTATGTCTCCTGTTCCTTAGTCCACGGCACTTCCCATGTCCCCAGAAAGGCCCGAGTTTCTGCACACTGTGGCTAATTCCTTCCCCTTAGAAATGGGAGCTGAGGGTTGGTATTTGGCTGGTTCTGTCTATGCTCCAGGGACATTTTTAATTAAATGGAAGATATGCTCAATGATCCTATAATTTGTTGCCCTGGATACTTACAGATTAAAAAAAAAAAAAAAAAGGAAGAGCTTCAAGAGGGGCGCCTGAGGAAGGCCTCCCAGTCTAGAGGCAGGCAGACTCCTCTAACCACCTGTCCCTGTGCAGAGTTCCCCTTAGGCCAAGATGAAGATCAAGGCTCAGAGTGAGAGTCCAACTGGACGCCTCCCAGAGGATGATGACCCCCATTTCTGACCTGGATGTCCAGCTGACCAGCCAGCCAGGCCAGTTCTCTTCCTTTGACTCGCTCTTCATCCTGGCATTTCACACCAGGTCTGCACTGAACTCACTGGCTCTCCCTCCAGGACGCTTGTCTCCAGCACGAGCTGTGTGTATAAACGCACTGTCGTCACCTGAGAGCTGAGGGACACTGTTCCACTCTGCACTGAGCACTCGTCTGTCTAGTGGGAAGGAGACTCATCCATCCCTGTCCACCTGTGCTCAGTTCACAACTGGGGCTCAATAAATGAATGAACAGTGGCTGGCCTTTTCTCTGGTTTAGGGCTGGGGACAGCACTGACCCAAGTTCTGCGTCCTGCCCAGTGGTATAAGTGCTACATCAGCAGACCAGGAGGACTTTTTTTTTTGGAAATGAAAAGGGAAATAGTAAAAAGATCTTGTTCTCACAGTGGCATGGGGTGGGGCTTGAAGGAGCAGAAAAACGGGCTTAATGCGTACTTGAGGATTATAGATGAAAAATTGAAAAGAGCCCCTGACTGCCTGACTGGGAAGGGAGGTAGCAAGGGCATTTTGAAGTGGAGGGGACTTGAGGGCAATGAATCTCTTGTCCCTTTGTCGTTGCTGTTATGTGCAATTGGTTCAGCTACAACTCACAGTGACCCTGTGACCAGATCAAAACCTCATCCTATCTCCTGCCATCCTCATCGTTTCCATCAGTCTCGAGCCCACCGCTAGTCACTGTGTTGGTCCGTCTAGTTGAGGGTCTTCCTCTCTTTCTGATTCCACGTTTTCCAGTATGATTTCTTTTTCCAAGGACTGGCCCCTTCTGTCAACATGCATGAAGTATGTGAGACAGAGTCTCATGATCCTTGCCTCTAAATAGCAACCTGGTTGCACTTCTTTCATAAAGCCTCATCTTGAAAACCTACTGTCATGACCTCAAGGATTTCAAAATCTTCTGACTTGGAAGACGGGGACCAAATCAGTCGTTTACCAATTCTCTTCTATATGGTGTTTCTTCAACAACGACTGCTCTGCTTTTAGGACACAGGCAATCAACCACCCACTACGTACTACTCAGCCCTGAACACTGAGAAGAGCTCCAGAGGAATGGAAGTGGTCCATCCTCCGGAGCCCCAGGCTGGTGGGGACACCACCTTCCCTGCCCCAGAGGTTTGTAGGCATGAAAAACACACAGGATGCCAGCCAGAGTGCAACTGTGGAGCAAAAAACCCAGTTAAGTTGTTGGGTGCCAAGCAGAAAGTGTTGAGATGCTAAGGAGGACAAGAATGCCAAGACAAAAATTCTCACCACTGGACATTCTTGTCCTTTTCTCAGCATCTCAACACTTTCTGCTCAGTACCCAATTGTGCCTTCAGCCAAAATTCATCTGATATCAGTAATGAGATCCCTTTTGCCAGAGGTTCTTCTAAACCAGCCTGAGTTTCTGGTAGTTCTCTACTGAAGTAGTCGTCTAGTCATTTTTAAATAATCTTCAGCAAGGTTTCACTTGCATATATTGATATTGTTTGATAACTTCCACATGCTGGATCACCTTTTTTTGGGAATTGGAACAAACACAGATCTCTTCCAGTCAGCTGGCCAGGTAGCTGTTCTATTTCCTGGCATAGCTTCATAGGCACATCTGGCACTGCACCTGTTTGTTGAAACATGCCAATTGCTGCCCCATCAGTTCCTGAGGTCTTATTTGGTTCTTAATCATATGCTATTTCTAGAAATGGCACAATGCTGATATCATTCTCAGGTGTTCCCTTGAAGATACTAAATTTTTATGATTTGCTGCTTAAAATAATGCCGTTTTAAAACAAAAATTGACTCATATCAGCACTAGAATCCTAATGTAAGTTGGAGACTGTCAATATTTTTTTACTCCCCCTAGTAAGGGAGCTCTGGTAGCCTAGTGGCAAGAAGCTGCCCTGCAATCCTCAAGGCATGTGGTTTGAGTCCACTAGCTGCTCCACAGGAGGAGGGACAATCTACTCCCATGTGACTAACTGCCTTTGAAAATTTGCCAGAGAATCAATTATGGGTCCATTCCAACTCCACGGTACCCAACAAGAAGCAGCCCCTAGTAGGGCACTCTGGTGACCTAGTGGTAAGAAGCTGTGCTGCAATCCAGAAGGCACATGGTCTGAATCCACCATGGATTCAAAGCTGCTCCATGAGAGGATGGGCAATCTCCTCTCCTGTGATTACCTGCTTTTGAAAACCCACTGGAAGGTCAGCTATGGGTCAGTTCTGACACAACCACCACTTCAACTCAGGGATGCTCTGGTGGCCTAATGGTAAGAATCTGTACTGCAACCCTGAAGGCTTGTAGTTCAAATTCACCAGCTGCTTCACAAGAGAAAGATGAGTAGTCTCCCATCTCCTCTTGGACAATTTACTTCCTTTGAAAAGCCACTAGAGAGTGAGCAATGGGTTGGTTCCAACATGACAATAAACAATAGCAACAACAGTAGTCAACTCAGTTTTCCAAATTTGTAGTCTTGGGATGACGTAATTGTGCTTGGCTCCATCCAGCAGTATAAATGACTGACTTCCAAAAAAAACACCTCGGAACACAAATCTACTGACACATAAGCTTGTCATGTATTTGAATCAATTTGATGGCACTTTCCCTTCACTCCCCTCAAAACCCCCTTATTAGCAGTGCCCTTTGCCCTTTTGTACATGTGTGTTGTGTATGTATAATAGAACCCTTTCTGGAGACTAAGTGGAGGTGAGGTTTTCTCCAATAAAAACAGGAAAGAGAAACACCCTCCGTGGCTAGGTGTAGAATGAACACTGTGTAGACCATGTCAGTTTGCAGAGACGTGAAAGCTTGGATTGTGTATGGACTTGCTCGAAAGAGGAATGAGCAGCCTCAATTGTTCCTGGGCATTGAGCAGGGACATGATGAGCAATGTCTTCATAGTAAAAGATATTTCTCATTTCTTTCTCATCTATTTTCTTAAAGAGGAGGCTAAGAATTTCAAGTCAGAAGTCTGACAGCTAAGAATATGTTCCGTGACCAAGCAGGTGCAAATTTATATAGATTCTAAGAGGTGGGCCAGCTCTGGTGGTGACGTTCTTCTGGATATTTCCAGTCAGTGGAATTCAGTTGAAGCCTGATCGCTCCTTGGATTGCTTTGTCTGTGCATGTTGCTGGGTGAGGCTATTTCTTGGAGAAGGGCAACTTGCTTGGAAAGGCAGAGGGATGGCAAAGGAGAGGAAGACCCTCAACCAGTGGACACACTGACTTCAGCAATGGGCTCAAGTGTGTCAGATTGTGAGGTTGGCACAGGACAGAACAGGGTTCAGATCTACTGTTTACAGGGCCACTGAGTCGTACTTGACAGCACCTAAGAATTGTGGAATTCAGAGTCAACTCAATCCCAGCCTTTTAGTGTCTAAATTTCCCTTGTCTCACTTGTGAAAACCCTCCCAAAACGTAATGGGCTAAAAAACAGCGATTTCTCACAAGTCTCTGAGTTGCCTGAATCCAGCTGGATGGTCCTTCAGCTTCCATGTGTGGTCAACAGGGGTTACTTGCAAGGCTGCCCTTAGCTAGGAGTTTGGCTGCAGTTAAAATCTCGAATACAGTTTGCCAAGTCCAGGTTTTCAATACTGTTAGTTGGGACATCTCACTACATGGTTTACACAGTTTATTCACGACAGCCAATTTCCAAAGGAGCAAAGAGGACGCTCTCAAATTATTACTTCTGTCAAAGCAAGTCATTAAGACAAGTTCAAGGAAAGAAAGACACTTCTTATTGGAAGGAACAGAGTAAGTGGTTGCTGTGTGCCATCAAGTTGAGTACAACTCAAGAGACCCTATGAACAGATCTGGACCTCAACCTGTGCCATTTCTCATCACTTCTACTTATCTGAGCTCGTTGCTGCAGGCGTTGTCTATCCACGTCATTGAGTCTTTCTCTTTTGCTGACTTTCCGCATTTCCAAGCATGATATCCCTTTCCTCACAATGAGCACAAAGTATGAGACCAAGCCTTGCCTTCCTTGCCTCCAAGCAAACTGACTGCATCTTCTCCAAGACCTATCTGTTCTTTTGGCAGTCCACGAGACACTAACAACAATTTCATCTTGCTTAGATCCACAATCAGCACTCCGTGCCGGCAGTCAAGAAATCATGAGACCTACTGCATTAGAAAGTCTGCTGTCAAAGACCCCACTGAAGTTCTAAAGGGCAACAATGTCAGTTTAAAGACTAACGTGTGCCTGATTCAAGCCATGGTCTTTTCAATCAACTATAGGGGACAGGTGGAACTGGTGAGCATTGTTTAGCTCTGGTGGTGCATCCCTAGGGAGCTGCATTGCTAACAAAAAGGCCTTGCAGTACCACAGGAGAAATATGGGTAATCTACTCCCCTGGAACTTAGTCTTGGAAATCCAAGGGAGGCTCAGCTGAGTGGGTCCTGCCTCAACACCCATGATCTTTGGAGATGATCCACCACACCTACATGTTTACAAGTCTAAGTTTCTAATAATTTTGGGAAAAGTAATTAGGTAAACTGTTAACAGAAACAAATATCCAGCTAAGAACAAAGACTGGCTTTCTGGAATGAACCTAACTAGACAAGGCTACAGGTGTTTATATTTGATGTGGCACATCTGGGTGCAATGGGGCCAGTTAAGCAAGTGTGCCCACTCCTGGGCACAAATCAACCCTCAAATCCCAAAAAGGTGGCAGCAGAAGTTGCACCTAAAGGTCCAACCATTGCATAAGAGGAAAGGGACAAACTAATGTTTCATCAGCAGCACCAGCATCTTCACCATCAGCCACTCCTTTGTTTCCTTTTCAGTGACATTTATTGGTTATTTGTCAAAAATACCACAAAGGAAGTGGGCAATTACACTGTTCCCGCCAGCAGGAAACAGTCTGGAAGAGGCATCCATTCAAGTATGTGGCAAGTGCTGGGATAAAACCAGTTCAGACTCAGTTCTATAGTTCTGGGATCACAACAGAGGGTTCCTAGAATTCCAGGCACGTATCACATGTTATTTAGCAGAGCTGTGTTCTCATAAAACAGCACATATCCTTTTGCACACGTGTGCCCCTGTAAGGCCCATGGGGAAGAAGGAAATGAATATTGAGAGGCAACAAGCCCAGCTTTCTTCTTCAGGTGTCATTTTACTTCACTGAAAGGCACCGGTTTTGAGCCCAAGTACAAACCGAACTGGCTAAGGCCTTGAGCAGACCAAAGGCTACACTCCTGTCTCTTCGCTGGGGTTTCTCAAATCCATTTAACCTGTCAGGGAAAGGACTTAAGAGTCACTATCTCCTAAACAAATCTGTGTGCAAATTTTTTTGTGAGTTAAAAAAAGAAATTAAATGCTTTGGATGAATTGGAACAGTTGCCCTCTGAAAGTGCTAATGAAAAGTGCTTTCCTGTCATTTGACTTACCGATTGCTTCGAAGGAGTAAAAGTACGTAAGACTAACCGTTTGGCTATTTACATATCCCCAAAAAGCCATTTTTCGCTTGTCTCATGTTCCAGAAGGAGCGTGTACTGTAGGCAAGCTGTGGTCTACTTTTGCATACTGACTCTAGTTCCAACTCTGATCATAACTGGCTTAACATGGGCAATATCCTTCAAGACCAAGCCTAACTAACATTAGGCACAAGAAGGGCCAAGACATGCCACCCCTCTAAATGAATATATATCAAAGTTGAGAACCAGTCACTTGCATCTTGCCATGCCAAACGTTCGCCGTTGGTTGACGTCTGAGGCCGATGTTGACTCAAGAGTGAAGACCTACCTGGTCTGTACTATGCCATGCTTTATCAGAGGGTAGATCCATTACCAGGCTTTTCTTTTTGGTGCATGTGAAAGCTCTGCTGAAATCTGGAACGAGGGCTGAGTAAGTCTCCACTGACACAGGGCTGGAACGAAATCGTGGTCTCCCACTACTGTGCCCCAAGTAAACACATCACTACACCTGTGCTTCTGTAAGAAACTACCTTTGAGTCCAACCCTATGTGTTATAGAAATCTATCTGTTCCACAGGCTGTCTTGGCTGTAATTTCTACAAGATTACCAGGCATTTTCTTCTATAAACTAGGTGGTTCAAATTGTTGACCTTTTTGGTTACCAGCAGATTGCAAAACAGTATAGAGGCATCAAATAACTAAGGATCTGCTGCTCCAGGATGGCACCGCCTAGAGCAGGATTTGAAGTCGCAAAGTGTCATCTGGAAAAGGGGCTTAGTTCTTACTGTGAGGACTGAATGAAATCATCTATAGGGCAGAGAAGGGCCAGTACTTGCTAAACAGTTCATTCCTATACAAATTACACATAGGAAGCAGAGCAAGAATAAGGTGGCTCATTTGCTAACTGGTTCCCAATTCACTGCATCTAGTACTGATTAACAAGGAGTCCTTGTGGTACAATTTGTAAGAAGTTCAACTACTAATTCAAGGGCAGCACCTATGGCTGTTCAAATCTACCGTAAGCTCTGAGGGAGAAAGATGGGCAACCTCTCGTGTGACTTACAGCCTCCAAACACCTTCTGGAGGGCCAGCTGTAAGTTGACTCAAAAGAAATTGAGCTTGAGGATCAATTAAAATCAATTCTTTGCTAAGTTCTATCTTTACTAGAAACATGGGTATCTGGGGCTGAACTCTCCTTGGAGATGAATTAAAAAAAAAAATCATCAAACACTACCTCAAACTCATTTCCACTGAGTCATAACCAACCTACAGCTGACTTTCTGGTGAGTTTTCTGAGGCTGTAACCTGCACGGGTAGTGACTGCCCACCCTTCACCTTCAAAGCAGCTAGTGAATTCAAACCACCTGCCCTGAAGTTGGTAGGTAAATTCCTTCCTTACCTACTAGGCCACCAGAGCTCATAAAGGAATGAGAAAGAAATGAAATAGGTTCTGAAAGGTAAGGGTACTAAATTATCATGTTGTACAAACCAGGATATTTCCAGCTTTATTGTATCATCTTGGTTTGAGGTTTCCTTCTGCAAAGTCTAATCCACAGGGGTACGCTGAGGGCCAAATACAGCAATGTGAAAGCTCTTAGCAGTATACATCCAGCCTCCTTTCCTCCTCCAGGGATAGGTACCTTCATTAAGCAGCTTTCAGAAGTTAGATCCAGCAATAATCCTGACTTTCACTCTTCAAATGAAGTTTGAGCTCCTCTTATGGAGATAAAAGGGAGTCAAAGGGGATAAAAGTCTTACTCAAAATCACTATCTTTACAAGGAGTTTGAAGTTGAGAAATCTTTCATGTTTAGGTAAAGAACAGGCATGAGCTCAGGGCTACACAAAACAAGTGCCCTCACATTTCAGCATTCAGTTCTCATGGCTTCATTACCTCTAATTTTTCAAAAAGTGAGGAAGTTGAATGACCCTCTGATAGAATTATCTACAACACTGAGGTGTGTGCAGACATTTTAAGATCAAATGAGCGAAAGCAGAATCTTTTCCATCCTAATCTACTTCCCAGTAAGTAACAAAGAGGGTATTCCGTTAATCCACTGGGGGAGATTTGCTGAATGAAATCGCCCCAGAACATTCCCATCCTACTCCTTTCTATCTTTTTCTTCATCAGAGAAATCTTACAATAAAACTTGGCTACATTCAGAAAAATAATCACCTCAACCTGGCAGTTAAGGACCAGATGTGAGTTAACTGCTGAGTGTGTGTGAAGAAGATTCACCTCTGCCTTCCACTCTCAGTAACTTCCTGCTCGTTCCTTACCCCTGAAAACCGGTTGACTAAATTCACTAACTAGCCATTTTACACATACCTAACTGGACCCAAAGTGAAGCAGTTCCAATTTATCCCCATTAACTACACAAGTTAAAAGTAAGTACTCCCTCTGTGATGATAGCCTGCATCATTGAGCAAAATATTTCCACAGCCACAAACCGCATCCCTCAACAGCCAGTTTACTGCTAGGGGAACAGGGAGATCCAAAATGCATTTACTGTAAGTAGCACGTCAGCTGCATTCTTTTCATATGTAAATCAAAGTCCCTGGATGAACAGATTTGAGCAGAGAACATGCTTTATTGAGAAGTAGATATAGAACAGCACATTCTACCACATGTCGGGAAGGGTTTAGCTTCTGTAAAAGGCCTTCAACCCTTAAGAAAACCCCTTGTGAAGTTGCTTTTGGATAAATTCAACAGTGACACTGAAACTGGAGGGGAACTGCCACTGAACATGCTTAGAATGAGCGCCCCCTCCCCACACCCACAGTGAGTATAAGTAGTGTACAGAGATGACAAGAGAAAGGCACAAATGACCAGAGTGTGGTGAGGGCTCCACGAGAAGACAACACTGTTGTCGGAGACCAAGTTGGGAAGGGTGACATGTCATAATAAAAAGCTGCCCCAAGATAGCAGGTTATAATGGGCTAGAGAGAAATTAGAGGGAACATTTCTTCCTTCACTGAACAACACCAAAAATAGGAGACCAGAGAATAGGGGAGGGTGACAAATCCCAAAAAGGAAATGGAGGAGTTCTCGGAGGGAGAGAAGCACTTTAGTCCTCGAGGGAGCGTGAGGCACTGTTGTAAAGAGAAGCAAACCTTGGCAGGGGTGACCTTTCTGCCTTGCTGAGTTAGGGGCTGGACAGGACATGATTTTCAACCTCTCTGAGGACATGTGGACAAAACTGATGCAACTGTGTATGTAAATACAGGATATATCAGACCGTTACAGATGAAAGGTTTCCTACAGCGTAATTAATTTACCAGCTGACATGTAGAGAACTGGAAATTATTTTGGCATCTGCAAACATAAAAAGGAACAAGAAGTAAGAAGAGAGGAAAACGTATTACTGGGTCCTTTCTGGTGAGGTGAAAACAAAGACAAGACATCCATTCCATTGCCAACAGGGAAACTCAAAAACATGGAATCACCACCTCTTAGCCTTCTCGCCAATCTCACTGTGATGATTTTATGTTTGTTACCAAGACTAATCCCTGGGAAGCTTTCAAAAGTATTTGGCGCTAGTCAGTCAGATACTGGTCAAACACAGGTCTTTCTAAGCATCTGGAGGGGGGAAAGAAAAATTGAAAGTGGGATGAAATCTATACTGCACAGACCCCTCTCAGTACACGTACATACACACACACGTGCGCACGCGCGCGCGCGCGCACACTCACACACACACACACTCTTAGAAGTGCTACCTCTTCCCTGCCCCTTCACAAAACACATGTGTAAGGAGTTCATCGGAAAGGTCCAGGTGGTGGTAACTATATTCAGAGGTCTGGTGACCTGATGGCGAGAAGCACAAGTACAGACAGTTTAGGAGACACAACACAACCTCATGGGGCTAGAGGACGTGAGGAGAGAACCAGTGACTGGACAGGTACAGTACCATAACAGAACTCCTTGGGTCAGTGCTATGAGAGAGCTGCACTCAAGTCTAATGCAGATCTCCTCCAGGCAACCTCACTGAGGCCGAAACAATAGTTCCTCAGAACCAGCGTCTGCAGTGTACAAGAAGGTCGGAGCCAGGACAGTCCTGAGGGGGATGGCCTTCCCAAAGGATACTGCACTTGCCAATCACAAGAGCAACAGAAATGACAGACAGATCCCTAGGGTATGGATTCCTACTGCTGGGGTTCGCTGGCTCAGAGCAACAGGTCACTTTAAGTGCCCTTGGGAGGGGTCCATTTCAAACAGCTTGGGTCCATGGTTTTATTGGAGTTGGACCTTTTGGCCTCTTTGGCTATCCACTCATCGATGAGGTCCTGGGGGAGAAAAATGAGAAAGACAACACATCACACTAAAATCCTGCATAAAAAAGCAGTCTGCTGTTTTATAAGATGCTTTCATATTGAAACCATTTCTTCCACCATTCCCTTCAGTGATAATGGAAAATTATTCCTTTTCCTTGATTAACACGAGTCAATTAAAGAATCAAAGTGTCTTCTCTGAACAGGTGGGCACGTTTCTCTATTCTACGCAAACTATCAAATGAGAGAAGTGCCATGCAGCATATCAAGCTGTTTAACTTGTGTCACCCAACCTTGAGCCAGCAGCCTACCAAAAGCTTCTGATAAGAACCAAATAGGGATAAGTTTAACAAAGGAAACACAGGGATCACTGTCAGCTCAAGCCTTGAAAAGAAGTCAATCAAATTTAAGAGGATGGTTGTTTTTTGGTTCTGAAGGCCTACTTTGCTAAGCCTCTGAGGACATCCAACAATAAGCATGCAGCTGGTTAAAATCTCACCTGTCTCTTTAAAACGAGGTGTTTTCCTTTCCAATACTTGAGCATCTGAAGGGCTTGCAGAGTACTGACAATGTCCACAGGATTCACAGCTGTCTCCTGGCTAATTTCTGAAACAGAAGGGCTACTGAGACTCCAGCCCAACTCGACCCCCTCACAGAGACTTCTTTTTCCCTCTGAGGATACTCAAATAGATAGGTTCATTGAAAACATTTACTTGAAAACTTCAAACACCACAAAATATAAACAGTATTAAATGAAACTACACCTTAGAGCATCTTATTTATCTTAGTGCCTTAGAAATCATGGTGAAACAAAGCACCATTACCAAAATTATCTCTCTTCCATAAATATGAAGGTATGTTTCACACACTCCTGCATGAACTAAAAGGTTTTACTTTTCTAAGAATTTAATCATTGGCAATATCAGATTTTAGAAATAAATTCACACAATCATTCCCAGAGACCAAATGCTCTGGAATTCCAAGTACTTCTGGTAAGGGTGTCTGAAGTGGTCCATTTTTAGTGGGTCTTTCACTTGTTTATCCAAATAAAAACATGGCATTTTTGCACGCAAAGAGCATGAACACAGGCCAAGCAGACAAGTTAGAATATACAGCAGAATTAACATTCTGGATAGTAACTGTTCTAAAGAGTAGGAAACTAACCTTTGATAGAAATCTCTTTGCCTTGAAAATTATGCAGGTAACGGAGAAGCACTTCTTTCCAGTAACTGCGGTAGCTTATGAGCCCCAGATCTGAGAGGGGACGCTCTGGGGAGCCAACTTTTTCTTCCACTTTGGAGAGCAGATAACCTGACCAGGAAACATAGTTTTTCTAGCAACACTGTCTCTTAGTCTCATAGCAAAGACTAACACACAGCCAGGGGAAACATTTTTAAAAAATATACTATTTCATAGTATCAATTGTGGTGTAACAGTCATTAAAAACCTGTATAAAATGTGCATTTGTATTTTGCTAGTAGTAGGCATTAAACTCTGAAGGTGTCAACAGAAATGCTTCAGAAGGGTGATGTTACTTGTAAATGCATACATTTGTAAATATGAAGACAAATGCAAAGCCTTTCTACTTTTCAAATCTTTGAGCTGTAACAATAGATCATAAAAAACCCCCGCAAACTCCAAAGATTATCAACTTATCTATGTGGATGCAGCCAGCAAAATTTATACTCTAGATCTCTCCAGGACAACTACACCTGCTCTTCAACCCCAACACATCGTTACCTGACATCTCCCTTTTATGACAATAGTAAAAAATCTATTATATTGTGCATTAACATTGATGTCAGAGTACAGGGTGAGAATAACACCAGTTGTGACGGTGACGTGTCAGCTCATGTTCATGTTCTCAGTGATAAGAGTCACCCTCCACTCTAATCTGATTTCCTCATCCTCCATCATTCACACCTAATGCTGACTGCTATCTTAAGTCCCAGTCCCTGGAACCTAACCATGTATCTAAGTGAGAAGTGAGGAACATTTCTTTTCCTTAATAAGTAAAGAAAGAGTAGAAAATTTTAGATTAAAATTGTAAGCCACAATAAATCTCAATTTTTCAATCTTATCCATAGCTCATTAAATATAATTACAAAATATATAAAACCAGGGAAATCATAGAGCACTACTCTATACTTAAAAATTAGGTCTTTTGGGGGGAGGTATTAGATCCAACTGACCTAACCTTTGGGAGACAGTAAAATAATTGAGGATGGGAACATAAGTAAAGCAACTTTAGCTATAAACAGTAATTGTTGAAGCGAGGTTATTTTACTTCTGCACATGTTTGGGTATTTCCACACCAAAAAAAGTACCAAGGTTTTAAAGAGGAATATTACCTATTCAAAGATACAGTCCTCCCTCAGTGGGTTATGCCACCTCCTGATCCATCTCCTCCCAGGTGGCTTAAAAATGAATGAAGGCATAAAAGGCTAATTATAAGAATTCTAATTTTAACTAAAAGATGTCATCTGATAGTGGACATTGGATAATTAACACCTATTACTCAAAGTATGTATGAGGTGCATGGACTACCTCTACAAAGTACAACCCCTAAACTCCAGGAACAGTTTAGTAAGCATGACAAGCAAGCCTTGAGCTGGGACTTATTCTGCCACCCTCAGTATTTCCTACAAAGTGGCTTGGTGGTGCAGTGGTTGAGTGCTAAGCTGTTAACTTAAAAGGTCAGTAATGTGAACCTAGCAGCTGCTCCAAGGGAAAGATGTGCCAGTGTGCCTTAAAGAAACCCTATAAAATGTGCAACAATGAATGGAGTCCAAGTAAAATCTCAATTAAAAAAACCACGCACACATACACAGACAAAAAAAAAAAAAAAGAAATTAGGGAATGTGCTTTCAGAGAAAAGGGGAAAAAATGTATAGAGCAGTTCTACTCTGTCCTGTAGGGTCACCAAGGGTCTGAATTAGTTGAATGATGGCAACTGAGTTTTATCTTTTTGTTTAGGTGGCTGTAAAAGATAAGGAATGTAATTAATGTGACAGAATGGTATGTGTAAAAGCTGTTGAAAAGACAAATGTTCTGTTACGTGAATTTCCATCACAATCAATAAAAGACCTTCTAGTAAAAATAAATAAATAAACACTATGAGGGAGCCCTGCTTGTCAAGTGATGATCTGAACTAGAACTGACCTGAGCGGTGGTTATCACCTAATCAGATACCAGCTCAAGGTCTGAATTCCTTTGTCATTCAATATGTGTATCAGAGAGAACAATGAAGTTTCCTGTACTTATTAAGTAATATCAGTTGTACTTCCACTACATGCCAGAGATGGTAGAGACCAAAGGACAAAATGAACAATATTCCCATGGTTCCTGCCTAGGGCGGGACTTGGCAGGTGTACTTACTGAAATCAATGAGCATCTTTCCATATCCTTGTCTCATATACTGAGGCATAGTAAGGATACAGGATACATTATAGTTCAGGAATGAATTCTTTTCCTAAAATCAAGAGCAAATACGATACACAAGCCTTAAGTTGTCAGCACTCATACATATACAAAAGTGTTCAAAAAATTAGTATCTAACTAGTCCTGGGGTGTGATACAGTCAAAGCAATTAATCGCACAACTTCTTCAGCTTTGAGACCTCCGATCTTATTTTAAGGATGCTGATTCTTGGTTGTTTATTAGTCACAGGAAAGGGAAAGACAGTGAAGACTCCAAAATCTACAGTACCCCTACTGGATGAGAAGGAAAGTACTTTAACAATTATATCCTGCAGAGAGCACAGAGAAAGGTTTTTCAACCTGCATTCTGGAAGGGGATAAAAATCAATCAATCACACAAAAAAAATCACATACTGTATGATTCTATTTCTAAGAAATAGAAAGAATAAGCAAATGCATAAAACATTAATTCAAGGCTACCTGGGAGTGGAATGGGGAAAATGTGCAATAGTTGTTAATGAGCTTTTCAGGTAAATGAGTATCTTCTAAAATGGACTGTATTTAATAGCTTTATATTTCTTTCTAAGTATACTAAAACTATTGAATTATATAGTTTAAATGTATAAACTTTAACAGTATATCAATTATAAAGTAGAAAAGTATTTGCTTTTAAATAAAAATCCATAATGTGAAGTCTTAAAGGACTAAACTCGAAGGAGTTCAGCCAAAGAATGAAGCAAAAATGAATATATTCTTGGTTTTTAAGCTAATAACAAAGAGGAGAGCAAAGCCACAAGAGCTTGACTGCAGGATGTGGGCTTGCTGGTTAGTAGGCAGGGCCTTGGCCAGTAATTAATAGGCAACTCCAGCCCACAAGTTCCAGAAATGAATAACCAGAAGCTTTTAATAAAGAACTGCACATTTTCATTAAACAATCTTTGATATGTGGGTTTGCTTTTCTTTCCCCAGAAGGGCTGTCATCATCACAGCCCAAGATACTACCTCTTCCTGTCCATGATTTATCAACTCTTATATGCCAACATCAATCACTCTGCTTCAGCCATTAGCTTCTTAATCTCCAGATCCTGCTGACCTTGGAAAAATATCCAATCAGGTGACAGCCAGTGTTGTCCGCTTCAGTCATAACATAGAACAGGAAAGGCTCCACATCATAATATAAAGTCTTATGGTCCAGAAAAAGCTTGGCCAACAGGCACAGGTTTTGGCAGTAGATCTAGAAGCAGAGCAAAGAGTTCATGTGTGGGTCAGTGATTTCTAAGCTTATCAGATAAAGGACTAAAATTAAAAATCACACTATTATTGTTGATGAAACAGAAATGATCTTTTTTGGCCAAAAGAAGAATTTTTATTATCTTTACAAGGCGAAGAGCAAACAAATCCATCATACTTTCTACCTTGTTTTTTTTGCCATCCACTTCAAAGACGGAAATTGAGCCTTTGCGATAGATCTCATCACCAGGTGGGTGTTTCCACACACACTTAGCCTGCAAGAAAAGGAATTCACATCAAGGAAAACAAACGTCACATCAAGGAAAACAAATCTTCCCAGGAAGACTGCAGCTCAACAGGTACAAGAAATCACAGAGGAAATTCAATTAGGGACAACTGGCCATACGTGACAATGGACAGCAAAGCAAAACAGATTATTTTTCCAGTAAAACAAAGTCTCTGAAGTCACTGCAATATATTTATGGCAATGGTACAGCAGTTTGGAACACCTTTTCTGGATTATATTCTGGCCCTATTTCAGCCCAGGGGATTAAAACCATCCACTACGTAAAAGCTAGATAAACAAAAATATCCCTGCTTATTATAAAATGCCTCCCGCCAACAGGAAATTCTTAAGCAGCTTATTTCCAGCAGCTTAGAGCTGCTAAGTACTTTACTCCCGCCTTTACCAGTAACTTCTTATTACTATGCCTCACCACTGTGGTCTTTTTTCAGATTAGGGGAAAAAAAAATAATGATAAAAAGGACACCCCTTCCACCTCTTCTACGTAACAAAAGTTCTTTCTTTGTTATATAAAGAAATAAGAATAAGTTATTTTTGGGACTTTAGAAAGGTTCCGACTGAACAACCTGATTGAAGGAGGTTGAGGTGAATGAACATTTGGCCACAAGGGGGCATCCCTTCTCCTCACTCTCACTTGTTATCCAGTCAACCACTGCAGTTAACAGAATTTCTGAAATTTTATAAAATGTATTTTAAAATAACACTTAAAATGCAACATTTTCTAAAAAACAAATTTTTCTACTTTTTTTGTCAACTTGAGACTTGCGTTCTAATTTGTCACACACAAACTGAAACATTAACTGGAATTTCATCAAAAAATGCTCCCCTATCTCTACCCCTTTTCCAATAACCAAAGCAATGTTAGAAAGCCACTTCAAACAAACTTCACTTTTGTCCACATCAGAGGCAATGGGAACTGTTAAGAGACAGGAATTAAAAAATATTTGTAGCAGGGAGAAAATTACAATAATGAACGAATGGGAATCCAAAGTCTCTGTAAATTTTCATTAAAAGTAATAATAATAAAAAAAATTTTAAAAAATTTGTAGTTTCTCAAACTCCACTTATGTAATTTATAAAAACAGAAGTCAATCTTCAATTATTCCAAATGTTCATCTGCTCTGCAGATCATCTAGACCCCACTGTTCTGCCATCCACCACTTCCTGCCCTTTATGGCTATCTCACTGGTTAGAGTCACTGCACTCAACAAATAGGAAGAGAAAGACTTGAAGTGAGCAGTCTTACAGTCTCACAGCAAAGCAAGAGTTAGTTTAACGCTAGAGACTACAGTCAGTGTCCAGGTCTTCCCCAGCTCCTGGGTCTCTGTCTCTACAAGTCCTTGACCATCATCTTCACACCCCAACACAAGTGTGCAGGAGCCTGGGCCACAAAACCATCAGCAGTGTGTTCCAGAGGTGAGAAAACAGAAAAGCAGTATCATCAAAAAGAGACTATGAAAATGAGAGAAGGAACACCTTTAGTGGCCTAATGATAAGGAGCTGCATTGTCAACCCAAAGGCACATGGTTTGAATACACCAGCTGCTCTATGTGATTAAAATATGCAATCTTTGCTACAACTAAACAAGATAATGATCCCGAATAATTACCAGTCTCGTCAGCTCTAGTTTACCAACTAGGCAGCAGCCACCTCTAAGAACAGAGAAAGAGAGGCGTGGCCCTGAACCAACAGACAGGCCTACACCCAAATGTCAGCAGGAAGTAGCCAGAAAGATATCATTGTCTGACTCCCTGAAGAAACAGGGCTGAATACCTCTTGGGGGAAACATTAAGGGCTAGAAATGCTACCTGGTATTTCTCATTCTCACAGAAGAGGGCTTGAGTCTCCCAGGAACCGGGAAGGAATTACACTCGTGTGAATGCAATATTATTTCTGGCAGCAGCCAAAAGGTAGTTTACACTAAAAGACCTTAGCCCATGTGGGGTTGCTCTCTTTTACTCTTTCCTAGTGACAACATGCTGTAAGGTCCGGTTTCAGCCCTGTCTTTCCAGGGATTCTTTCTCCTTCTTCCCTCTTCTTTTTTCACTTTAACTCTTCTGTACAGCCCAGCTTACACTAGGATGCCTCTGTCTTCTTGCCTTAATAAACCTTCCTCATTTGTTTTGTTTTAAAAAAGCACTCAAAACCAACCAAACAAGCAAGCACCAAAACCAACCAACACCAAACAAACAAGAGACGTAATTTCCTCTAGTGCAATTTACCATCTCTAAAAACTCACTGTGGGGGGGGGGGAGTGTCCAACTAAGCATCACACTACAACACTATGACAGAAATCACAAGAAACCTGTGATATCGATGCTCAGTGACTTTATTCCTTCTCCATGTTGGAAATTTTCTTTAAGATGGGAAAAATAAAACTATTTAAAGTCATAAAACTTCTATGAAACACCTCTCTCTCTGTTATTTTTAATAAGAAGAATGCTCAGAAGCCAGAAAGCGCTAAACAACTCAAAAGGAGGAAGGCACATCTGTGATGTGGAAGGTACCAAAGGTTCTACTTTGCTCACTTATTAAATTCTCACAAGCTGATATTCTGAGTAATCATTCAACTCACACTTACTGGACATTCATTGTCCAGCTAGTTGAAAGGGACACAAATAGAAGACATGCTGTTTCCCATCAAATGAAGTCTAATGTGGGGCACACAGAAACTAAAGAACTGGAGTAAAGAATGCAGGGTGCCTTGGCAGCACAGTGGTTTAAGTATTGGGCTAGAAATGGAAAGAGTCCCAACACATCAGCCACTCCACAGAAGATGGAGCTGTTTCTATAGATTTACAGCCTCGGGAACCCAATGGGGCTAGAAGGAGTGATGATGAAGAGAAGAGAGATTCACATAACAGAATGTGACCTAGGAACACTGGTCCCTTTGAGAACCACCCAGCACCAGCAAAAGGTACAGATTATGGAACTCCACCAGGAAGTAAGACTTTTTCCTGGCCTTCTTCCCATCTGTGGAGCACCTAGAGCTGCCTGGAAAGGTATCTCCAGGCAAACCTAGAGATACCATCATGACCACGCCATCACAGAAGGACAGCTTACCATGTGTCGGCGGAGAATAGTTTGGCTCTTCATGTATTTTAAACAGAATTCACACATATAGAGGCGTCCCAGCCGTGCGTATTCTTCAGGATAGGGAGAATGGTACCAAGTGTCAAGCTCATAGCGGCCAAAAGCAATTGTCTTAATCATGTTGCTCCCCTCTGTGATTTGACCTTGAAGTCTTAACTTCTCCTATTGCCAAAAAGAACCAAAAGTTCAAGAAATTATTATCTTTGCTTTTAAAGTTTTGTACTCTGCTCTCACGTGTGACACTATGCTACACTATGAATACATCAGACTTAGTATGTTCTAACAAATCATTGGTGGTTAATGGTAAAGAAGTGTACTGCTAAGGCAAAGGTAATGGTTCAACTCCACTAGCTGCTTTGTGGGAGAAAGATGGGAACTGCCTCTGAAAAACCCGCTGGTAGGTCAGTTATTCTGAATTAGTTCTGACTCGGTGGTACATCACCACTGTGACAACAACATGCATAGTGTGTGCTAAAACAGTGACTCTAACGGTAGGCTCTGGTATGTCAGAGATGGTGAGGACGGGCAGGATTCAGATCCTTTAATAACGAAATGACCTCTCCAGGCATGAGTCATCACTCACGCTAATACAAAACTTAGCAACACTGTCCAGAGCAAGTATCTCTGACACGTTTTAGTGTAAACCAGCCATACAGCCAGCAAACTGGTAGTTGTTGAATATTAAGCAGAATGTGAAATCATACAGCCCATATCAAATTCAGAGAAACATCCATAAATGATAATTCTTGAGTTTCAGCCACCTAGCATTATGCACCTACAGAATTAACATCTATGTTTATCATAAGAGTACGGAATGAGGTTTGCAGAGTGGATTATATTTGGGGTGGGGTTGGGTGTGTGTGTGGGGGGGAGGACTGTGTACCAGTGAAGGAGTTTTTGTTTTGCTTTTCAGGGAGAGGAGCGAAGGGGAAGGGGGTGGGTGGGCAGGGAGAAAAGTGAAACAATGAATGAATGGAATTCCAAAATCTCTGTAGATGTTCACTGACATAAAAAAAAAGTACTTTCTGTAAATGTAATAAAGTTCTATCCTTTTCTGTCTTTAAATACTTGGCTATCACTTGAAATGTATTGATTCCAATTAAAAAAAAATTTTCATTTAAAAAGGAAAAAAAAGGTAAACCAGCACCTAAAACCAGCTTGTAGTATGATCCATTTACCCTTCTATGCCCTATCAACCAGCCTACATAGCTTTATCTGACTCCCTATTGCCTCCTTTAACACCTATTGTGCATCTCCCCTTTCTGTGATATGTGCATATCCTAGAGTCAGATAAGATGAATACATGAGGCTGTCACTCATATCAAAGGGTCTTTTTATCTAACAAGCCAGAAAACCCAAAGTATGGACAACCCACTTCTCTTGTCACTGTAATGTAAACAGAATTTCAATAGTATAATTTGTAGAACTCTTTCTGTAAAATATAGCCTTGGGGCTTGCTGGCAGTCGAGTCTCCTACTCTACTACTGCTATCTTTTTCCTTATTTTACGGAATGTCGGAATAAACTATCTTGTCAGGAATTTTAGTAACTGGAGTGGTTACTGGTTTTTTACCCTAAAACAAACGTAACTTCTCTGCTTAATTCCATGCTCAGGGCCTCATCTCTTACAGCAAAACAAGTCCTTGGTGAAGTTTTGCATTTATCAGTCCCAACCAGGGCAAATTATAAAGGTCATCTACCATAAATACAAACTCCCCAGAAAAGACCTTCTTCTAGCATGGTAATTTTTTCTTATTCTTCCAAGTTTTCAATTACATCAAAGAATTTAATGAAATAGCAAGGCGTTGGAAACAACCTAAGTGCCCATCAACAAACAAATGGCTAGAGAAGCTGTGGTATATTCGCACAATGGAATACTATGCTGCATTAAAAAACAAGGAACTCATGCAATATTATTCAAAATGGTTGACTCTGGAGAACATTATGCTGAGTGAAATGTCCCAGTCACAAAGGGACAAATATTGCATGGTGCCACTGTTGTAGAATGGGACTGTCCTTGGGGTTGGGGAGAGACTGAGGTAAGATGGGTTCAATAATATGCTGCTCTAAAACAGAGAAGGGAGAAAACTGTTTAAAAGAGATATGTGATTAGGTATTTCTGTCATGACAGGAGTCTAGAGCGATGGCTACATGGTGGAGTGGACCTGGGGGAGGGTTGTAAAATAATGAAAGAATCATTTTTTTTTACTTTTCCAAGAGGGTAATGTCTGGTGGGGGGGAGCCTTGGGAGGGGACAAATCTACAACAATGAATGAATGAAAATCCAAAGCCTCTGTAAATTTTCACTGAAATTAATAACAAATTTAAATTAAAAGAAAAGAATTAAGTTAGAGTAAGGATGGCAATGGAACCACCTTACCTCTGTAACTTGATTTGTGCCACTATTAGAACCTCTACTCAGAATATTATTGCTTTTCAATTTTTGACTCATGCACTTTTAACCTGTTAGTTAAATTTGTATCTTCTAGGCTGCAACACTTCCATGATACATCTTCAAGGATATGAACATGTACAGCTAAGCACAATTGATAACAGTGCATCTAAATTCCAAAATCAATCTCCATAATAGTCTATGTGTTTCCTACTGCCAAGGGGGCCCTTTGGAGTAGTGAGAGAAGACCTTCACCCTGAAACCCACAGCGTCCCTTTTCAGCAGGAAGTAGCTAAGAGAATACACCATCCCCTTTTCCTTATGAATCAGGGTGAAGTCTCTCTCAGGGAGGAGTGATAGGGAATGGCAAGGGACACACTGACAAAGGAGATTAATCAGAACTGGCTTTGACAAGCACTGTGGCAATTGGACAATTAAAACAGACATTGGGGGAGGGGAAAGAAGAACGAACTGGGGAGGAGGGTGGAGAAAACAGTGCAACAATGAATGAATGAAAACCCAAAATCTCTGTAAATGTTCATTAAAATTAATAAAATTTAATAATTAAAAAAAATAATTTAATGAGGTATCTGATAATATATTTTTAAAAAAATTCAGAGAAAGAGAGGCAATACATTGTTTAAAATTGGGTTTTCCTGAACACAATCTGTTAAAAAGTAAACTCAAGTCACCAGAATTTTCTTTAAATAAATGAAGCATCTGGCAATTTCCTCCCCCCTCAATTATGTTTGTTATTTTTATAATGATAAATATATTAAAGAGCTATGAGGAAGCATGAAAAAGGAATATTCCTATAGAATTGACAACAGAGATGGGATATATTCAATCTGAAGGCTCTCAGAATTGCAAATACCCAACTGAGACAAAGGGGCACCTCTAGCCTTACCACTCTATGAACTTGGAGAAACAATGAAAAGTTAATATACTCAGGTCTTTCGTTCACAGGGTTGCTATAAGTCTTCTACAACTCAACGGCACTTAACAACCACCACCACAACCACCACCACTGTCTCAAACCAAACAGGTCCTCCAAGGAGCTGAGGGGAGGGGCAGGGGAAACATTAAGAAATAAGGGAGGGAGGAAGGTGGCTAGTTTTAAATATGAACAGGAAAAACTGCCTTAAAAGGGGGACAGTTGGGGGAAGGGGACATTCAGGGTACATTTAATTAACTCCTAGTCATTTTTCTTGGCACTTCTAAGTGCTTTTCACAAGTGGCTCACAGCGTGAAGGTTTTAATACTCACCAAATCCTCTGAAGCACGAGCTTGGGCTCTTCGGAAAAGGTCCAAATCATACTCGCTTGTCAGGTTTTCCAAGAGAGGTTCCCGAGTGTTCCCGTAGGTCTGCCTGTGTTCCTAGGAAAATATCCAGAGGGTGATAACTCTCCACTTCTAAGACTTCACCTAGTTCACACCAGTCCATGCCAACTAGAGGTCTGAGCACAATCCTAAACAATTTAGGGCTTGCTAACAGGCTTTACAGATTGAGTAAAAGACACAGTTTTTATCAGGTAAGTGTCAGAGACACTCACTATCTAGTTCCACTGAACCTAAAGCAGAAATGCTCCCATAACTTCTCAAAGAACTTCTGTTTCTCTATCCCTAAACGGGTATCCCAAGATCAGTGCTGTAAGACTCAACTTCCCTTCCTGGAAACGTGTGAAAGTACAACACATCCAGAGGCCCAAGGAATTCTTTGAATTCTGAGCTCTGGAAAAAATGTTGGAAGATACTCTTTTAAAAATACAGAATTTCTACGCCTTAGAGGCAGGTTACAGATTGAAAACCTCCCTTAGAGGCAGGTTACAGATTGAAAACCTCCAGGTAGGTAGGGACAGGTGGCACAGGCAATTTTTGATGAACTTGCATTAAAACTGCTTTGGCCACCATCACACTGCTGGCCTGTTACAACCTCACTTTAAGTTCAAGTGCACAAGAAAAACAAGCTAGCTTTTAAAAAAACATTTTCACTAAATATTAAGAGGAGGAAAAGTTTACATAAAACTAGAAATTTAAAAACAGTATCATTTTTAAACACGTTTCAAATCTTACCATGACCAGCAGTCACTCCAAGAACCTTATTCCAGAAGGGGAAAAACATCCCTTTTAAGCCTTAGAGTCTAGCCCTTCCCACTTAGTTCCAGACTACACCTTCCAATCAGAGAATGTGAGATAAATGGCTGTTAAGTGCAGTGGATGGCTCATCCCAGGAAGAACATTACAGATTTCACACATATATTAGCATGTGAAGAAACCATCACCAGCACCATTCACATGCGCCATTAGGGATTGAATTATTTTTAAATTAGGGCTCCCAGCAAGATCTGGGCTCTTGGTATGGGTTCTTTGTATCTTATTCTTTCTAGTTTCTGAAAACTTTAAAAGGTGTGATGCAGCATTATTCTTTTTACAGGAAGTTAAAAGTTACATTTAGTAGGTTACTATATAATCTGCCCCATATAACTGGAAAGTAGCTGTAAATTAAAAATATCAGGGGCTTTCACTCAGACACTTGTTTATGTCTCTAAGACTCAGATTTCCCATCTATAAGGCAGGTATAAATAAATATACCATTTATCATATGGAGTTTTTTTCTAAAAGGTGACAGTATATTTTGCACACTCAAAACCATCAGTACACAAGATTTCAATCAACAGTTATGACCAAATTATTGTATTATTACATTCTACCCAACTTAGAGATAAAAACATTAAATCAAATAGGGCAAACTACACAACTTTTCCCAGTACTTGTATTTACATTTATATCGTAATAATCAAACTCAACAAAATCTGGTGCGGGTTTTAGCTACACATTTACCTTACCCGTCCCAACATCCTTATCTCTTTTACACACACAGTTATATCATGAAGACTATCATATCAAAGATAATGGCAACTGACAAGAGTTAGCACAGTTTGGCATACTTTTATTTCAGTGAAACTAAGCTTTAAGTACCACAGACCATACATTTCATACCTAATGTCTAATGAGCAAACACTGCAATTCTACAGGACGTAGTGAGGAAATCACATCAAAAAAGACTGGCAAAACACAATACAAAATGTTACTAGTGATTTATACGTACAGGACAATTTTGCTAACTCCAATGGTAAGTTATTCATTAATATATTTAAGAAAACTAATCTCTAGCCAAGAAATGTCATTTCATGCAAAAAAATATTAACAACCCACGATACGGAAATAAAGCTACTTTACAAAAAAGAAAAGACTTTAGGCAAAAGGAGAGAATTTTAAGATATTTAAGATCCAAATCATATAAATAAAGTATTTATGTACATGTTATTGTTGTTATGTGCCATCGAGTTGCACAGCGACCCTTTGTACAGGAGCCCTAAATGGCGCTCTATTCTGTGCCAACCTCGCCATCTCAAACACTCATTCCCACCACTCCACTCACAGAATCAATCTATCTCAACAAGGGTCTTTCTCATATAAAAAGCTAAAAGAATTAATGCCAAAACTGTGGCATAAATTATTCCTGCTACCTCTGGTTATCTTTAGGTGGTAGAATTATTTTTACTGTATACTTTTTAACAACTGTTCTAGATTTTCAATTAGAAACATACAGTACTTTTATGATCAGAAAGAAATACTTTAAAAAAATCTAATAATCTAGGATATCACCTAATTCATGCTTTTATCATGCAGGAATTTTCTTTCCCCATTATAATACAAACCTACTGCTTGATGTGAATGTTTCTTTCCTTATGCAGAAGTCTCTTTTGTCATGGAATTTGTTCGACTGGGCAAATTTAACCATTTAAATTTATACTAAGGTTTACAAACAAGGGTTGTCTCCCCTCTCCCCAATTGAAATGAATTGCAATTTCTTTTTCAAAGACATCTGTTTTCTCACTTAACATCCTAGTTTAGGTGGGGATTACTGTTAAACTACTATTTAAACATTTCAACTTTAACCGCCAGAAAATTCTTGCATTTTGCAAGAGAGAGCATTGATATGACATGCAACAACATATGCAGATACATAAGTACATGTCATGAAAACTGAAGAATAAAAATACACTTCCATAATTACTTCCTGAGTTATTCTCTTTAGCGTGCTACACTGCTAACAGAAAAACCTCAGGTCTCTCCATCAGCTGTTCCATGGGAGAAAGATGGGTAGTTGCTTCCCTTTAAGACTAACAGGCTTGGAAATCCAGTGGAAGTTGATATGAGTCAGAAACAGATTGATGACTCTGTGTGTGTGTGTACAAAAAAAAATTAGCAAAGACTAAGCGTTAAAACCCTTCTCTCTCTTAAAAAAAAACAAAACAAAACTTCTCTCCTTCTCTGCTTTAGACTATATCATGACATTGGTATAACTATTAAAGTTATTGATTTTTTGTAAAAAAAAAAGAGCATTGGTAAATTCAAGTTAATTACCTATTTTTACTTTGACTCACCATGTATTTCTCTTTCTGTTCCTTGCTTAGCCCAGAATTTCTTTTCTTCCTGAGTTCAGCCACTTTTTCTTTGTATCGTAGTTGTCTCTCTGTTGGTGCCTTTTTTTTAAAAAAAAAACAAAAAACAAAAACACAACAAAGTAGAAAACTAACTGTAAAGTCAAGATTCAAGATACACACACACAGAACAATAAAGGAAAATAAAAATCAGGAGAAAAATGTCAGTCCATACCAGATTTGTTAAGAACCACCCTCTGAGTATTATGACAATTTAAAAATTTCAAATTTAATTCAAATTCATTATCCAGAATATTCACCTTACTGAAAGTTAATATGGGTTTGGGAACAAACTTATTTTGAAACTAACCTAAACAGACATAAATTATTAAGGATGGAAGTCTCCACTAAAGCAACAATAAAATTAAGCCTAACTACAAAAATAGCCACATAAGTGCATATGTGACAAGGATTAAACTAAGATTTTTAGCAAATTACAATGGGAATACAAGGGGGAAAAATACATCAATGATGGGAAAAGATTTGGGAAAGCATTCTTAAAAGAGTTGAGAGGCGCACAATGCCTTGATAAGGATAAATAGAATTGCTTCTTTTTGAAGTGAGAGAGTTCTAAGCAGAAAAGATTAAAGACAACAGGCACAGAAGGAAAAATAAGGAATTAAGTGCAATCAATGCAGCAGAGAATGTCCAAAGAGGTAGAGGGAGGATAAAGACCAAGGGTCATCCTGGAAACCAAGTGAAGATGAAAGCAGAAGAGAAGTGGCAGAGTCCACAAGTGACAAATGCTCAAGTCACAGGTAAGCCTGGGAATATGCCAAAAGAGTGAAGCATCTGAGGTCAAACTATAATAAGTTAAAAAAGACAAATGCAAAACGAGGAAACAGAGCACAAGTAGAATCTTTCGTATAATCGAGAATATTTTAGTATTATTAATGGCAGCATTAATTCCTTCATTTATTAAGTAGAGACACGTGTTTGTCTCGTGAAAATTTACTATCTGAAAAGTAAGAATGATTCAGAGTTTATGACTGCAAGGTCAGCTATTGAGCCAGACCACAGGAAACAATAGGCATGGATATGCCTAAAGACAGTGAGGAAGCAAAGAAGAGTCAAGTCTGGGGTCTCAAGCTGAATGGCCAGCACTTTAACAAGGCCCATACCTGGTGCCTGGTTGCATGCCTGTTGTTGTCATCTTGCCTGTGGGACAGCATCCTTTCTTCTATCTGCTTATCCCGGCTCTGTGCTCTCACCTGCAACCATCAACAACGTCAATAAATCCACCTTCTTCTAAGACTACATTTATTTAAAGCATAGGAACACAACAAGCCTCTGAATGTTTGTACTTTCACTTTCAAAGGGTTTTCAAGATTATCAAAATCTCTGTATTAAAAAGAAAGATATGCCAAGTTTTATAGTCTGTTTTCTCTGAGAACCAGAGACATGAAACGATTACAAATGACGCTAAAGCTAAAATTTTAAGTAAATCTGATAACTAAACCTAGACGCTGTCCCCAGGATTAAGAACGGGAGAAAGTGCAGAAAGAGAATTGAAGAAGTGCAAAGAAAAGGTTAGAAAACCAGAATTCATATCTATATGGACACTAATTCCGTGAATCTTAGACAAATCATATTCGCTCTCCAAAGTTTCAATTTGGTCATCTATGAAGGACTGATAAATCCAATGGCTTATCCAACTTCTCCAGTAAGACTAGGTGATCATTTCTCCACAAATCTACTTTGTCACAGACCTTGCCTGTACCCATAGCAGCAATACTACCTATAGTGAGTCAAGTAAAAAAAACCACCACAATCTCATCCCTCATTCTCTTTTCTTCCTATACCTCTGCTCAAATCCAACAGTGAATTTAGTAGGCTACATCTCCTACAAAACACAGCCTGAATTCTTAAATCCACTGATAAACTCCGAATCCATGCCACCCTCTCTGAGGAACTTTCCATCTAGTCTACCCTAGGTCAACTCCTGCAGCGAATTAAGAAAAAGCCAACCCTGTAAGGTCCTTCATGGACACTCAGGGCCTTTATCTACTTAGCTCTCTCTTCCCTTAGATCTTGACACAACTGCTGTCCATCATCATCATCATCCATATCCCATATCAAATCCTCAGGAAAGTCTTCTATCAGCAGAAAGCACGGCTGCACTCCCCTCTAGGAACACTCTTTAGGCCTCTACTTTTTCAGCTCCTGCTCCTCATACCATTTATCACTAAATGAAGTTTTTACTTATTCACTCCTATTTTTCTAAGTTTTTCACCCCTACAAGAAAGTATGCTCCTTGAAGGCAGTCTTTATATCTTAATCACTTTATGTTCACATAGCTGTTTGCCGTGTTCCACACGGACATACACAGGAATCAAATGGATCACCTATTAAATATCACCAATCTCAAAGTTTTACTGAGCAGCTCAGAGTAAGCAGGTATATGCAAGCACTTTTTTTAGCATGAAGGACTTTGTCTAATATTTGATTTGAGGTTCTCAATTTAATAAAAATAAATCTTTTTTCATAAATTTTTCAGTTCCTACAAGTGTAAATTCCAGTATTAAAGATAGCTTATATTGAGGCTGGTTCCCCTTGCAAAGAAGAGGGAAGAAAAAAAGAGGAGGGGAAAAAAATATCTAGGATCCAAATGTTCTTCCTTCAGAATTTCCTTCTAAACAAATAAAAAAACCAAAACAACCCTAGGTAACATATTCATATTGCCATAAGCTATGATTTTTAAGTTAAATACCTTAGGAAGATGTTTCTGTAAAACCATCTACAGCATGAGATATTTCTATCTGAAGACAAATGGCAGAAGAGAGCTTGGGGGAAAAAAAGGATGTTGGGATATACAGAGGAAGGGGCATCTAAAGCCTCACACGCCTGTGACACAGCTACTCCTGTTCTGACTTGGTTCCAAAATAGACAGATAATGGGAAGAGTCACTACTTATGGGAAGAGCCACTACTTATTCTTACACAGTACAAGGCATTGCTTTGCTTATATAAAAAGACTTGAAATAAAGAAAAATAGCAGTTCTTGACCTTAAAATCTATACCAGATAGACAGTATACTACTTTCCTCGAAGACTGAACACAATAAAGAAGTTTTCTTCCTGGTGTTCCAGTTGTAAATAAGACAACAAATTGCTGAATCAGAGAGATTAATGTTAGCTATTGTGTGCCATCTAGCCAATTCCAATTCACACCCTTTAGGATAAACCAGAATGGCACCACAGCGTTTCTTGGACTGTAATCTTTATAGGAAGCAATCTTTTCTACACCACAGTGCCACTGGTGGGATCAAATGCTGACCTTTCAGTCAGCAAGCAGCCTGGCATTTAAAATAACTGCACCACACATTCTCCCTCATTGCTGTTGAGCTGAAAGTGACTCCCAGTTGACCCCTGTTGGGTTTCTGAGACTGTAAATCACAGAAGGAGTCTGCCCAACTTTCTCCCTTGGAGCCACTTGTGGATTCCAATTGCCACAGTGTCACAGTCTTTGAGTTAGTATTGCAACTCCCAGTAGACAACAGCCCTAGTGGTTTAGGACTACAGAGAAATCGAATTTTCTCAGAATGGAACTGGCTCAGACAGATATAATCCCATGATTCTGAAGTCATTACCAAAACAACACGAAAGCAGCTTGGATAACCTGCCCATATCCAAGCAATCTATTGAATCCCTTTTCCTGTTTCTTCATAATTTGTTCTTTGCTCTGATCCTTGACAGGCACAGCAATCCAAACACCATGTTAAATAAAGGGTCTTAAACTCTACTCCTAAGTATTTTATCCCAAAACCCCAAACACAATTTTAGGAGCAGCATTTTCAAGAATTCCAAAGAAGAATTAGTCAAGAGTAGGTATGACTGAAAATAACAAGGGAAAAAGGGCTCAGGAGATATAGGCAGAAAAGAAGAAAAATTAGTAAGCAGCAATAGGACTTCAGAGATGGAGAAGAAGAGAACTCTGCACACAAATACTGAGATCACATATTTATGTGTATTACTCAGTAGATGAAGCGCCAACAATTTTTGAAGTCAATGAAAAATCATAATGCACCAGAGGTTAAAGTTCTGCATGTTCTACAATTAATCTTGTCAATTTTTTGAAAGCATTCATTACTTAAGTCTTTAACTTGTTTAATGTTTTATGTTTTAAAAAAATTTCTTCCACTAAAATGTAAGTGTAAAGATCTTGCCCATTTTGTCTCTCCAGTGTCTGGCACAGTTAGCACAGTGTCTGGTATATGGTAAGCACTCAGAAAGTGTTTGTTGAGTAAATGAGAAGAACCAGAATTACCTTGCACTCATCAGCTGAGAGATTATGATACAGTGGACATCCTGAGATGGAGAAATGTCTCTCATGTTTCCCTGTAAGGTGTCCTGTTAAAAAATGAAAACAGAATGAATCTCAAACTATCTGACAGTATAACAATCAACTCATAGCTGACCCTGTTGATTTTCTGAGGCTGTAATCTCTTGAAAATAGAATGACCATCTTTTTCCCAAGGAGCAACTAGTGGATTTGAACCAATGTCCTTTTGGTTAGCAGAACAACATGCAACATACCATGAGATCAAAACAGGGGCATTCTGTTTTATTGGAATTACATTCTGTTTTGCTAAATTATTTAATGAGCCATATATACACCAACATGTGTATTATCTACCAAGCAATGCTATCCATTCCAAAAATTTCTTTCAAGGATCAACAGAAACTTCTGAAAGAAGAAAATTATCTTTTTACTGTAAAAGTAAATTATTTTGAACTAGATTAAACATAAATGTTTTTGGAAGGAAAACTTGATTTAGGTTTCCTTTACTACAGAATTTTTAACCAAGTTATTAGCACAATTTTCCCTGAAAATATAAAAATATTAAGAATGACAATACTGTTAAATGTAGTAGAGTTGATAACCAACTTCATGGTGAATCCAAGTGTGTCAGTGTAAACTGTGTTACAGAAGGTTTTCAAGGCCTTTTAGAAAGACATCACCAGGTGTGTCTTTTGAGGCACCTCTCAGGTAAATTCAATCTGCCAATCCAACTGTCAGCTAGGAGTTAAAAACCAATTTGACAGGATTGAGTTTGACATCCAATTATGTTTCTTTTGTACTAATGATAGTTTTCAAGTTAAAAAATGTCATAAAACTGTACATTTATAATTAAGTTACAAAATTAAAAACCAAAAACAAAACCCACTGCCACAGAGCCAATTATAGCAACCCAATGTCAGGTTTCTGAAGCTGTGCTAGTTTCCTTCTAGCAGTGAGGCTCTTAACCATTTGCACCACCTTGGGGGTCCAAGGAATTGCGTAACACTTTCCTATGTGCTGTGGAATTTTTTTGAAAGAACACAGAGAAAAAAGAATGTTTACATATTTACAAACAAGGAGTTTACAAAATTTCCAAACTGAGAGAGATGGTGGACAATGTGTCTGTCTATAAGATAAAAGAGAGCTCAGCGTAATGCAAATCTACAAAAGTTGCTCTTTACCTTCTTTCACAGAAAGATGACAGAAAGGAAATACTGGGATTTAAAAATTTAAACAACATGGTTTCAGTGAAAGCTTCAAAGAGCAAAACCCAAGTATTAGGAAAACGTTAATAAGAACACACAGATAACTTTTTTATATAAGACAGCATTATCCAAAATGCCATTTTTAGCAGTTCATGTAATTTATCTTCGATATAAAAAACTATCACCAAAACACTAGTTTCATCATGTATAAAATATAAAGTGTCATTGAGACAGTGAGTCTTACTTTTAAAGCTACTATTTACTATTTGTATCCGCAACTTTGGAATAAATGATTCATTTTTTTTTAAAAATGACATTGTTTTGTCTAAGGTAAGAAATGGAACAGGATCAAGAACAAATGTGAAAATTCCTGTTTTCTAAACTTTGCCAAGACATTAAAACCAAAAGTCAAAAGAAAATTTTTCTTTGATGCAACAGATATCTATTTTCCTTATGGTCTACTCAGTCAAGGAGCTAAATTCTGGGCATAAATAACACATAAACAGGCACCTATTCTGATCTAATCTCTTTCTATTCACCATAAGTCACTGCTCGAAGCACGCTGGCCCCCCTACTGCTTTCCACACTTGTCATTTGCCCGCTCCAGTTTTGTACTTGCCCTTCCTTCTACCATAATGCTGGCCCGCCTACCTTCTCAAATCACTGTTTCAGGTCTTACTCAAATGACACAATAGAGTGGCTTTCCCTAAAATTAAGAAATTTCCTAACGTCTCAGCATCTCTGCTTCATTTCCTTTTACAGTATTTATCTCCGGTTGATCTTGATATTCACTTGTGTGTATGTGTGTGTGTATATATATACATATATACACACACAAATATATATACACACACAGATACAGAGGTGTAGGGAGGTATGGAGGGGTGTGTGTGTGTGTGTGTGTGTGTGTGTGTGTATTTTAGTTGTTGGTGTTATATACTGTTGAGGCACCAGCAGATTTTAAGAGGCAATAAATCTCAAGGGAAGAAATCGCCTATATTTCTCCCACAGAGTAGCTGATGAATTTGAACCACCTGCCTTTGGGATGGCAGTGCAACTCCTTACTACTAAACTACCAGAGCTCCCTCACACTCATTCACACACTCTCTCTCTCTCACACCCCCCCATTACACACACATACACACACCTCACACACATGTTTAAAAGAAATATTAGGTATTATCTCCATGACAACAGTCCATAATAAGAGGTGCACAGCAAAGTGGACTGGGGGAAGGGGAACTGCAAAAATGAAATAATTTTTTTAAAAAGAAAAACAAACTGGAGGAGGGGGTAGGGTGGAAAACGTGCAACAGTAAACAAATAGAAATAAAAAAAGCTTACTAGCTACCTCTTTACTATCGTATATGATTATTATCTAGTCTTGGTTTTTAACTTTTACACCTCTGTAGGTTAATTTAGGCCCAAAATAATTGTTTTCTAAGAGTTATGATCACTGGATGTCAGGAGAACTTCTTTGCCATAAGATGTGCTTTTTTTTAAACGACAAGGATAACCAGTTTATTCCACTTACCGTCACACGTTGCGACACTCTGAAAGGCACTGCTCTAAATGCTTCCATCCTCACACCACCTTCTGACAGACCACTGTTATTATCTCCCCCCACCCCGCTACAACAGTGGAAACTGAGGCACAGAGAGGTTGCCCAATACTGAAGTTCTGACAACTTCTGCCACCAGAACGCCTTCTGCTTGTTTAGAGTCAACTTTTTTTTTTACCATCTTTTTCTTGTTATGTACCGTTGAAGAATCAGATCTGACTGGCACAGGAGGAGATTGTCCCTCATTCTCCAGCAGAGCACCTGGTGGATTAGAACCGTGCCTTCGGGACTGCAGCACAGCTTCTTTGCCACTAGAGCTCCCTAAGCTGCACTTTGATAGAATGAAAATACCTGAGAAAGTGCTGCCAGGAAAGTATTCAAATCAATACAACACTAGGGAAAACACAGTGCTGACCTGCCAACAAACAATTTCGTCTAGCTATTTCTGAACTTGATGGCCACACTCAAAGGTTGAATCTGAAAGGTAAACTCAGCAATATGAAATGATCATCTTCCAATCCTAGACACAGTGTTAAGGCCAAGATTTGCCATTTCAGCCCACCAAATCATTGCAAGTAAGTTTCGCTCCATTACAAGAGTTCCTATTCATTAACTGTCAAATATCTGAAAACTACTTATTTTATTTATACTACGCACACAAAGCCACAAGAACAAAAACTACTTAAGTTAGGGAAGGCAAAGATCTCACCTTTACCCAATAATTTCAGTCTTTTAACAAATTATTTTAAAAAAACACCCAAACCCAAAGCACCAAAAACTTGTTTTTATTGTTCAGAATATACACTGCCAAGACCAACAATTTCTCCAGATAAAATTCAGTGACAGTGCAGTTTCACAGTCTCTTAATAAGCAATCTGGTTTTCTCACTTGTCTCAACAGCTATGACCATGCAAACCCCAATGTGAGCTAGCTTGTGTCCTCCTCTCACTCACTACTGATGTTGAGTCAGTTTATAATTCTATGCCTTAGTTAGAAATATACAGTTTTATGACATTTTGGAGTTTGAAAAATGCATCATCAGTACAAAAAAACAAAACTGGAAGTCATACTCAAACTCACTGCTTTCCAGGTGGCACCAGCTCATAACTGCCCCTCCTTCTTTTGATTTGAACCACAAGACAGGTACCACTTCTGGGTCACTAGAGCAACTCCCATCAGACTACATCACCAGAGCACCTCTATTAGCTTACGCTGCTTGCCATATAATGGGGTGTAGAGTGATAACCAATCTTCTGTTGTTCCTACTGAGAAAAGGACTTTTTTACAAATAATATCTGTCAGTAAATCAAATAATTCATTGTTAGTATATTCCTTATAGCTTGATCACCAATGGGCTATTATTATAACAAGTTAAGAAGCAGATCTGCATTTATTCAAATAGGCAACCTCTTGTGACTCTAAGCATGTAACCATTTAAGAATCTAAGAAGCCAGAGAACTTTTCTGGGAGATTCCAGTTTAAAGGGAAAGTAAGCCACAGAATTCAAGGAGTCAGGAAGCTGGGGCACACTTACCTAGAGAGTTACAGCCCGGTGTAGGACACTTCATATTGAAATTATAGCTTTCATGGAAGCGTCGGCGTTTAGGGCGATGGGAGAGGTCACTGCCTGAGTCCTTCAGAGACATGTCCTTGGCAATGCTCTCATCATGAGACACGTTGGGGCTGGAGATGTCAATGTCAGACTCTGAAGAAGGAGCATTTCCAGTTGGAGTTCGAGGTGGAGATTCATCATGATCAGCTGTATTTTTAGTTTCTAAAGCAAAAACAATTGGTAAAACTCATAAATGAGACTCATTTAAGTTTATTTTTCAGAAGAGTTTCTGCTTATTTAAATTTTTCAGTAGAGTTTCTAGGCTTTCCAGAGCCTGTTTCTGATTTAACAGTAAGTCTCAGCTACTTATCTGCAATAAATTCTAACTGAAATGAGATTTTATGTTTACCTAATACAGCAAATGCTTGAATCTGGATAAAGAGGCAATCTGTCAGATATGGAAAACTCAAATATTTTCCGTTAAAATAAGTGAAAAACGGGGGGAGGGCTGGGCAGGGAGAGAAGTGCAGCAATGAATGAATGGAAATCCAAAATCTCTGTAAATGTTCATTAAAATTATTAAAATAAATAAAATTTTAAAAAAGTGAAAAAGTGTTAAGACTCTACTATCAAAGGCTGGAAACGTTCCAGATCCAAGACCCCAGAGCTCTAGCTCTTGTAGGTGTACATTGCATTTATTCTCTCTAGTCCTCCAATCATAGGAAAAGAAAGTAGTCTGGAAATATTTTTATTCATTAGTACTATACCTTCCTTCCAGGAAATGCACAAAATAGAAAATAAATTAAGATAATGCACAACCAACCATCTAATATCGAAAGAGCAGAATTTTCCCAGAAGGAATGGCGGGGTAGGAGGATTAATGGAAATGAAAATTGTAAGTAAAAAGTGATATTACATCATAAGTATTACACTCAATGTTATAAAAGAAAACATACATGAATGGTTGAATTAAAAACAAATTTGTTTTGTACCCTTACACTCAAATCACATGCAAAAAAGGTGTCTGTCAGCTGTATGACACTCAAGAGGTTTGGTGGCAGTGAGTGAATAGGACTTTGATTCTGAATTAGCACACTATTAATCTAACAATTCAATGCTAAAACTGCAGATCCTAAGTCAGGGTTTGAAAGACCAAATGTCCGTGGGAGGTAGGTGAGTAACACAACCTATAGGAATTAGGCAGACCAGGTTGTGGCTGTGGTCAGGAGGAGAGCTCATTCTCCATCTAATGGGGACATGGTTAATTCTTCTAGTTAATTCTGCTGTGAAAGAAAAACCAAACAATGTTCTCTATTGTCATTTTGGGTTCTTCCATCATTTCTTTAAAATACAAACACAAGTTTTTATGCAAAATGTCTTTCTTTTCACAAACTGGCAAAAAAATTGGCAAGAAAAATGAACAGTGTACAAGCAAACATAATCCAGCAAATCAATTGTCTCTGTTAGCATGCCAGAACCAGCTTAAAAGTCTGCAGTCTCTGGTCTAAGGCCTCTGATTTGGGCTGAATTGGGATCTCAATACCTAAACCACCCCCAAGAGGCAAGGGCACTACTAATCAGAAATTCAGAAAGACAGGAACTGATAAGCATAACTAAAAAAAAAAAGAAAAAAAAAAAACCAAGCAGCCAGTTCAAGTCTTCTTCATCTTGAATGAAAGAGCCCTAGTCACTTCCTAGTATAAGTCCAAGCTAATGTAATATCCCAACCCCAACCTCTTTGGACCTCCAGAGAGAACAAGCCAGAGCTAAACTGTCCTCAGCAAGATATAAGAACAGAAGCAGAGAAACCTATTTGAAGTCAAACCTTCTTAGGATTAGGCATCTGTATATGTAGTTATGCATGTCCTCTGTAATAAGAGTCTATCAACCAGGTCTTTTATAATGGGTCCAAATCAAACCACACTCACCTCGATCAGAAAAATCAACCACTTGCTCAGTTTCTGAGCCAGACGAACGAGTCTGCCGAAGGGGATATTTTTTTGGAGTCACTGGAGTGGGCTGTTGCTGACTACGGGTCACTCTCCTGGTAGAATACGCAGGTTCCTCAGTGCCAAAAGACTGCAAATTTCGAACAGGGCTGGAATCTGATTATAATTTTAAAAGATAATATGAAAATAATTAAAAGAAAATCAAAGAATGCTTGTTTTACTACATCTGATTTATGAACATGCAGATTTTCATATACATTATTTCACAAAATGCAACAAAGTCTTGAATCTAAGTTTATGAAACAAAATATAGGCAAAGCGCCTAGTTTAAGTGTTGATGTTGTTATGTGCTGTCAAGTCAGAACTAAGTCATAGCTGAGGCTTCAGGAGCTTTTCAGAGTCAGCAAATCACACAGAAGTAATACGCTCATCTTTCTCCCGTGGAACCTAGTGGATTCAAACTGGTTGCCTTTGGGCTGTTAGTACAACTCTGTATGGTGTAGGACACCAGAGCTCTTAGGTGTAGAGACACCATGTAAAGTAACATTAACAGTTTACATTCTAGAATCAAGAATAAATTTAATTCAACTCCGCCCCACTATATATTTAACTGTGGTATCATGGACTAGTTAATCTCACTAAACCTGCTCCCCAATCTGTAAAATTGGTAAAATCAGTTAACACATTCCTCATAAGGTTTCTGTGATAAGTGAAGAGAATATACATAACAGATTACTCAACATGATCACTGGTACTGAGAGTGGATTCTGTCACTATTAGCCATGTCCTTTCTTTCACTACTCTAACCCAGTAATAGATGTTCTATTACTAATGGTTTACCAATAAACAGACATTTCCATAAAGTAGAACTTTTATTTCTTCTTGATTATCCTATTTGATATGCTTATAGACAGTAATGCAAAAAGAAAGTTTTTTTAAAAAAAACAGTTTTAAAAACTCATAGACGGAGAGTAATGTTACAGAGCGGAGAGAGTGAGGAGGCTGCGTCTGGCTCCCGCTCTCACAGCCATGGCAGTACATTGAGCTCCATAGAGACAGCGCCGGGCAGAGCCGGACGATACTGGGCGACTCTGTGCCTCGCGGACGAGAAATAACTAACCATGGGCAAAGGAGATCCTAAGAGGCCGAGAGGCAAAATGTCATCGTATGCATTTTTCGTGCAAACCTGCTGAGAGGAGCACAAGAAGAAGCACCCAGATGCTTCTGTCAACTTCTCAGAATTTTCTAAGAAGTGTTCAGAGAGGTGGAAGACCATGTCTGCTAAAGAGAAAGGTAAATTTGAAGACATGGCAAAGGCAGACAAGGCCCGTTATGAGAGAGAGATGAAAACCTATATCCCTCCTAAGGGCGAAACAAAAAAGAAGTTCAAAGATCCCAACGAGCCCAAGAGGCCTCCTTTGGCTTTTTTCTTATTTTGTTCTGAGTATCGCCCCAAAATCAAAGGCGAGCACCCTGGCCTTTCCATTGGTGATGTTGCGAAGAAGCTGGGAGAGATGTGGAATAATACTGCTGCCGATGACAAGCAGCCCTATGAGAAGAAGGCTGCTAAGCTGAAGGAGAAATACGAGAAGGATATTGCTGCATACAGGGCTAAAGGCAAGCCTGATGCCGCCAAAAAGGGAGTTGTCAAGGCCGAGAAGAGCAAGAAGAAGGAAGAGGAGGAAGATGAAGAAGATGAGGAGGACGAAGAAGAGGAGGAAGATGAAGAAGATGAGGATGAAGAGGATGATGATGATAAGTTGGTTGGAGCACAGTTTTTTTTCTTGTCTATAAAGCATTTAACCCCCCTGTACACAACTCACTCCTTTTAAAGAAAAAAAACTGACCTACCTGTAAGGCTGTGTAAGATTTGTTTTTAAAGTGTACAGTGTCTTTTTTTGTATAGTTAACACACTACCGAATGTGTCTTTAGATAGCCCTGTCCTGGTGTTTTCAATAGCCACTAACCTTGCCTGGTACAGTATGGGGGTTGTAAATTGACATGGAAATTTAAAGCAGATTCTTGTTGGTGCACAGCACCAATTAGTTATATATGGGGATGGTAGGTTTTGTTTTGTTTTGTTTTTCCATCTTCAGTTGTCTGATGTAGCTTATACAAAATAATTGTTGTTAACTGAATACCACTCTGTAATTGTAAAAAAAGAAAGAAAAAAAAGTTGCAGCCGTTTTGTTGACATTCTGAATGCTTCTAAGTAAATACAATTTTTTTATTAGTAAAAAAAAAACAAACTCGTAGATGGCAAAATCTATTCTGAAGTACTCAGCAGTCTTTACATCTTCAACATAATGATGCTTTTTAAGAAAGAAGTTCAAAATGGAAATTAAAACAAATTTTAAATACAATTTTTAAAAACGTTAAGATTATAGAAACCTGCTGGAAGGTCAGCAATGAGCCAATTCCGACTCAATGGTACTTAGGGACAACTCTCATGAAATATAGTCGCTAGAAAGACACCAGGAAAACAAAGTAACTAGAAAGACATCTAGAAAACAAAAATCAAACCAGTTACCATTGAGTTGACTCTGAATTATAGCAACATGACAGAAGCAGAAATGCCTGCAGGCTTTCTAAGGCTATAATCTTTACAGCAGCAGACAGCCACCTCTTTCTCTCAGGGAACAGTTGGTAGATTTAAACACTGATCTTTCAGTTAACAGCCAAATGCTTCCTAATTGTCCTATGAGGGCTCCCTAAGACACCCAGAGCTCAGGCATTTTCAAGCTATTTCAGATGTCCTGAGCATGGTCAATGATCATTTCTAATACTATGCCCCATTTTTTTGCATATGATCTGGCATTTCCTCAGTTACTCATGCTGCATTTCACCAGATCCACATTAACAGAACAAAAATGTGCTGACCAATCAACTGTGAATAATCAAGAAGAATGAAGCCTTTTTACCTTGAGAACTCTGGCTCAGCCTGGCTGAGGAGCGGGTGACTCTGGCAGACCGTCGCGAAGTGCCATCGCTCTCCGAACTGTCAGTGTGCTCGAGATCTGTAGAAAAATCGGAATCTTCGGTTCCATCTGAACTACTGCCTGCATTCCTCTGTAACACCATAGATCCAGACATTAGTACACAAGTAGTTATGGGTTGGTACTAATAGTGGAAATAAAATGTACTATGATGCTAAAAATACCAAGTTCAAACCTCAGAAAGAATTCCACAGATAAGCCCCTCCTGTTTGAGTCAATTTGCCCCGATTTAGGACATTTATATGGAACAACCTATAAGTAACATGATATTGTTAAATAAATGGAGGAAGAAAAATAACACTGTAATACAATTCTGAAGCATGACCCTTCGGAGATCAGAAGTTAAAATGTCCAAATAAAAATGGTATGACTGACACCCCATGATGCACTTACAAAAAGTCCAAAGAAGTGAGAAAAAGGTTGGTGCTGAGCCCCATTTGACTTAAGGGAGCTTCTGTTCAAAGTCTCCATGAATAACTATCATCTTTTTAAAAATCCGTATTAATTCAAAACAGCATGGTCCAAAGCTCTGATCTCAAAGGAATGGATGAAGATATAAACTCTTCCTATGTCTATCCTTGACATTTCTCCTCATTAAGATCTAAAAAAGCTTGCAAAAGACTAGAAGGTATTGAAACACTGAAATGATCTGGCACCTTTTCATAAATAATCATTTATCAACTACTGGTCTCCTAAAACTGATCAGTTATAGAGATAATTTTACCAGTAAGTATTACCATTATGGTGGTATTGTGTACTTCTGAGTCGGAACCAACCCATTGCTGATGCCCCAGTGGATTTTCAGAGGCAGTAAATTTTATAGGAGGAAACTGTCCGTCCACATTCTACAAAACCAGAGAGGAAAAAAGCATATGCTAAACACAAGTGCTGGATCCCTTCTCAAAATCCTTGAGGGCAGCTGTGTTTAGAATTCATAACTGTTTGGATTATCGGAAAGGAAATATGTTTTTGCACGTATTTTTAGAAAGAATTCTTTTTTGCAAAAACTCCACAAATGTTCTACAAGTAACAGGTTAATATTTCTGTAGCAAAATATATACATAAGCACACATAAAAACAGCCTCATGAGAGTTTAGAACAGACTGGGCCCCCAAACAAATGATAAAAAAAAGTACTCTCTGTACTTGAGGACTGTGGAAACGGAACTGTGGACCTATTGCACGGCATTGACATTATTTACTGCATTTGATATACTTAGGTGGTTTTTCACCATGAAAAAATACAGAGGCATTCAAATGTTTATAATGATTGTCTTTCTAAAGCATTTACTCCTAAGGAGTCTGAGCTGACTTGAAATGCAACAAATGGGTTTAGGGAGAGAATGGGACACTCTAGAGGTGTCGCGGTTAAGGCATATGGACACTAACAAAAAAAGGTAATTTGCTTGAAGCCACCAGTCACTCTGGGAGAGCATGAGGCACTCAGCCCTTAAGATTTACAGTCTGGCAACTATACGGGTTTACTAGGAATTGGAATCTGCTCAGTGAAAGTGGGCTGCGTTTGGGGTTTTTTATGAGAAGAAAAATTTCTGCAGAAACAAGCAACTTCAAGGTGAATCAGTCCAGAAATGAACTGAGGCCACCGGAAACACAGAAAACCAGGGGAATGGCTCTGGCATCTCAATCAAGTCCAATTACTCAGGTACTTTAGGCTCTGGTCACCACTGGTTTCTATGACCGTTACCCATGAGACTCTGTCCTTCTCCTCCAAAGCAGTCTTTTTTTTTTTCTATATTTTATTAATTTTCATAAACATTTACAGAGATTTTGGGTTTCCATTCATTCATTGTTGCACTATTCTCTCTACCCTCTTCCCAGTTTGTTCTTGTCCAAATGCCACAGTGCTTGTCAAAGCCAATTCTGATTAATCTTCTTTGTCAGTGTGTCCTTTGCCATTCCCTATCACTCCTCCCTGAGAGAGACTTCACCCTGAGTCATAAGGAAAAGGGGATGGCGTATTCTCTTAGCTACTTCCTGCTGAAAAGGGACGCTGTGGGTTTCAGGGTGAAGATCTTCTCTCACTACTCTAAAGGGCCCCTTTGGCAGTAGGAAACACAAAGACAATTATGGAGATTGATTTTGGGATTTAGGTGCACTCTTATTGATTGTGCTTGGCCGTACATGTTCATATCCTTGAAGATGTATCATGGGGGTGTTGCAACCTAGAAGACACAAATTTGACTAACAAGTTATAAGTACATGAGTCCAAAAATTATGGAAAAGTAAAAGAAAAGATTCTTTCATTGTTTTACAAACCCTCCCCCAGGTCCCCTCCACCATGTAGCCCTCGCTCTAGTCTCCTGTGATGACAGAAATACCTAGTTATATATCTCTTTTAAACAGTTTTCTCCCTCCTCTGTTTCAGTGCAGTATACATTATTGAACCCATCTTACTCAGTCTCTCCCCAACCCCAAGGACAGTCCCATTCTACAACAGTGGCATCATGTAATATTTGTCCTTTTGTGACTGGGATATTTCACTCAGCATAATGTTCTCCAGAGTCAAAAAAAAAAAAAAAAAAAAAAATGTTCTCCAGAGTCAACCATTTTGAATAATATTGCATGAGTTCCTTGTTTTTTAATGCAGCATAGTATTCCATTGTGCGAATATACCACAGCTTCTCTAGCCATTCGTTTGTTGATGGGCACTTAGGTTGTTTCCAACTCCTTGCTATTGTGAACAAAGCTGCAATAAACATGGGTGTGCATATATCTGCTTGGATGTCAGCTATGGTCTCTTCAGGGTATATTCCCAGTAGTGGAATTGCTGGGTCAAATGGTATCTCTATTTGCAACTTTTTGAGAAAGCGCCATACTGCTTTCCACAGGGGTTGCACCATTTTACACTCCCACCAACACTGAATCAGGGTTCCAGTTTCTCCACAACCTCGCCAGCATTTGTTGCTTGCTGTTCTGTTAAATTTTGCTATTTTGACTGGGGTGAAATGGTATCTCATAGTTGTTTTAATTTGCATCTCTCTTAGGGCTAGGGATTTTGAGCATTTCTTCATGTGTTTGTTAGCCATCTGAATGTCGTCTTCGGTGAAATGCCTGTTCATATCCTGTGCCCATTTTTCTATTGGATTATTTACCTTTATCTTGTTGTGGTGCTCAAGTATTTCATAAATTCTGGATATAAGTCCCTTATCTGATATGATATTACCGAATACTTTTTCCCAGTCAGTGGCTTCCCTTTTTACCCTATTGGAGAAGTTTTTGGATGTGCATAGGGATTTGAGTCTTAGAAGGTCCCATTCATCTATGTTATCTGCTCCTGGTTGTAGGTTTTCCAGGATACTGGGAAGACTGTTTATGTTGTGGATTAGGACTTCTAGTGTTGTTCCTAGCTTTTCTGTAATGAATTTTATAGTCCTTGGTTTTAGTCCTAGGTCCATGATCCACCTTGAGTTGGTTTTTGTGTATGGAGTGAGGTGTGGGTCTTGCTTGAGTTCCAAAGCAGTCTTAACTGCTCCCACTTCCTTCCCACATCACACTGTATGTACCTTTAAGTAGAAGATACGTTAAATCCTTTTACAGCGATTTGTAGGTCTGGTTTCCCTATCAGCCTGTAATTTCATTAAGCCAAGAATCATGTCTAATTGGGTTTTTAATACCCTGCAACAAGCACACAGCAAGCTGTCAATAAACATTTGTTGAATTAGACTCGATGACGTGTGTTTCTGATTCTGCTACTGCAAAGCTTGGCAACACCACCAGACTTTCGTTTGCTTAGAGGTAAAAAAAGTGAGGGTAGGCGGCATCCCTAGTTAGTCTTTTAACTCTCTTCTAGTTCTAGAAAGTTCTCTATGTTTGAAATCCCACCAACTGCATTCTCTAGGTGCTACCGAGCAGAGCGACCATGGAGAAATTACAACTTGGACTGCACAGAGGTTCCCAAGAGAACCTGGGAGAGGCCCTGTTCCCTCTGACCCAGTCCTCCCTCAGCTTTGTTGTGTCCACCAGAAAAAAAGGAAACCACCAGCGAAAACCCCGCCTCTACGCCGATTAGCATCACCACCCGGAAAGGAGGAGATTCATGCTACCCAATAGAAGTGCTGTTAAACCGCACCCCCAAAGGACCCATTGCCAAGCCCAGCCAATGAAGAAAAGGGGGATCGTTCTCTACAACCAGAGCGAGCGCGGTAGGGCCCAGAACAGGCTCCGCCCCCGCTCGCGGGGAGGTGACCGTTGAGCCCAAACAGGCGGTGTCACCAACCAATCAATATGTTTCTTGACGTCTCAGTGACCAATTAACGGTAAGAACGCCTCCGCTCTAGCCAAGCAGAGGGCGGGAATAATTGCAAGCATAGGCCGAGGCCAGGGTCGGGCCCGCATTTTTCTGTTGGGTTTGGACAGAAAACAGGGCTGCTGCGCTAAGTTCGAGGCGGCAGGAAGTTGAAATACAGCCGCTGTGAGGCGTGGCCAACTGCGTCACGTTCTTCAATTAAATGGCCTTAGAAACGGGCCGCCCCTCCACTCCCCATTTCTCTCACCTTCCTTCGTGGCATTGCCGGCGGCTGCGGCCCGATAGTTCCGACTCGGGCAGCGGCAGCAGCAGCAGTAGGAACGGTGGCTCCGGCGGGCTCCGTGGCGGCCTCTGTAGCAGTCTCAATACTGCGGACGATCCCAAGTGCCTCCTGCTTCACAGCGTCTAAAACCCTCTGCGCAGGCGCCGCGGGCTGAGGCGCTTTTTCCTTCACTTCCGGCTGAGGCTCGCGTCACCTGACGTTATGGATTATAGAGAATACTGGGAGGTGGGCGTGGTGTTCACCGCTTCTGGTGAGGCTAGTGTGCGCCATTTTGGAGTTGGGCAGAAAGTGGCCGAGCTGGACGGAAAGGGGGGGCGGGGAGGGTCGGTCCTTTTGGTTAGCTTAATGGCGGCCTTTGTGGGTGTGGGTAGCCATTCTTGTATCAGAAGAAGCCTAACAGTAGGGTTTAACAGTATTCATCTTTATCCTGGGCAAAGATTTCTTTGAGTCGTTTTAATTTAATGGAGACAAGGAAGGAAACCCCCAGAATCCATCAGGTTGCTGAAATGTAACCCCTTCGATGCCTAATCGGCTTAACGACGTCTCCGTTTATCATATAAACCAAGTTGAGAAGGGATCTTTTGCATGGGAAACTTTGTGTTTTAAGTCATTCCATATGTCAAAGAGATAGAAATGGGGGCTTTTAAAAGGAAAGAAGTGTGGTCTCCGTCATCAGGAAGTTTCCTGTCTGTTAGAGGAGATATTGATTGTCCTTGCCCTTGGCGAGCAGCAAGTAAGTCAGTCGTTCATGTCGCGGGAGGAGATAAAACACTTGATCAGTTCTTTGTAACTCCCGAGAAACCCCCATTTTGCCTCTTCATTGAGCGCCCATCTCTCTTCTCCACTCAATGGCTGGGAGAATTAGGCGACTAGGGGTGAAAAATAAGGCACGCCATACCAGATCATCAAACCTCTGGAAATTCTGCCTGGACTGGAGGTTGGGGGAAGGGTGAGAAGGGGAAGAATGTTGGTTTTGGAAGCTGGAGCTCAAAAAAGCCATGGGTAGGTAGTTAAATGCTTTGGAGAGGGCCTCGGAAGGAGTTAGTCAAGGATATAAAGCTGGAAGAAGAACCAAGTGAAAATAACTGGGAAGTGGAGAAAGGAGAGCTTGGAAAGAACCAAGGCTTGGTTGGCTTAAGGGCGGCTGGGTGGAGTCCAGGCAGGCAAGCTCAGTCATTAAGTTAGAATCCTGCATCCCAGTTTCAACCCTAAGAGGTCGAGGAAGATGGAGAGTCCCCCGCCCCCGTAGGAGCAGAGCTGAAGAACAAAGCTAGGAAAGGTAAACATCGCATTGATGTGCTAAACGGAAGGCTCTAAAGAGTTAAAATTCCAGCCCCTTACTAGCCAGCATTTTCTTTAAACATATCCTGGGCTGTTGTTGACACTGGCAGCTTTTAGTATTTAGAATTTTAGTTTTTAGTGTTTAGTATAAATACTCCTGAATAACCAACTTAGGTGGAACTTGTTTGAAAATAGCTCGTATTTCTTCTTCCTTTGTATCCCCTCAACTTGCATTCAATTTCACGCCATTACTCTTATTTTTCACTTAACCGGTGTGTTCCTGAGGTCACGTTTTATGTCTGGCTCAATCAACTAGTGGTAAGGAACTCTTGTGTCAAGAACATGTCTCATTTATTTACCAACCCCTCTAATAGTGACTAAACTGTGCATACCCCCATTAAATGCTTTCTAGTCACAGTATTAGGATTTTACAGTCTCAGAATGCAATGTTCAAAGATGGTGAGGTATGCTCTTCTTAGAAATTTGTATTTAAAATGAGATCTTACCCGACATAGCCATTCATAATACAAGTACCAGTATTACAAATGTTGAACGTTAGTGAAGCTCTTACAGTAGATTTTCTAACCTTGAAGCTGACACTCAAGAATTTATCGTTTCATTTAGACATAGTTCTTATCCTTGGAAAATGTATACTCCAGCAGAAAAATGGGAGGAAAACCAACACCAATTATTGTTAAGGGCTGTCAAATCAAAATTGCCTCATACATAGCTGACCTTCCAGTAGTCATAAAAAGATCTTCCTAAGGAAAAGAAAAATGCATGCTTAAGACAAGAACTGTTGTTAGGTGCAAGCGAGTAACCTCTAACTCCTGGTGACCTTACAACCGAAAGTTTCCTTTGCCTGCGCCATCCTCATTGTCTCCACCATGCTCAAGCCCATTGCTGCAGTCCCTATGTCAGTCCAACTGAATGAGGGTCTTCCTCATGTTCGCCAACCTTCCTAGTATAATCTCTTTTTCTCCAAGGACTGACCCCTCTTGACGACATATCCAAGTATGTAAGATGAAGTTTCACCATCTTTGCCTCCAGGGAGCACCCTGATTGCATTTCCTCCAAAAGAGATCTTGTTTGGGTTTTTTTAACAGTCCATAGCATGGTCTTTGCAATTACTTGCTGTGTATCAGAGAGCTGGGCTAAGGATGATAGAAGAAGAACTGATGATTTTGAGCTGTGGTGCTGGAGAAGAGTATTGAATATACCATGGACTGCTAGGAGAACAAACAGGTTCGTTCTGGTGAGGGTGAAACCAGGCTGCTCCTTGGAGGCAAGGATTCTGAAGCTTCGTCTGACATACTTTGGACATTTTGCAAGGAGGGACCAGACCTTGGAGAGGGACAGCCCAAGAGAGGAGGACCTTGGATGAGATGGATTGACTCAGTGACAGAGGTAATGAGGGGAGGTGTGTCAGAGACAAAAAGGTTGGCTCAAGATAGAGCAGGATTCAGAACTGTTGTGCATATAAGGTCACTGTGAGTCACAAGCAACTCAATAGCACATAACAACATAGTGTACTCTTAACACCACTACTTAGAGGTATTGATTCTTCTTCAGTCTTCCTTATTCATCATCTAACTCCCCAATACATGTGAAGCAATTGAAAATACTATGGCTTAGATTAGATACACCTTAGTCATTAAACTGACATCCTTGCTTTTTACCATTTTGGACCTGTCCTTGACAGAATTTTCCCTGTACAAGAGTTATTGTTGTTATGTACCAGTGAGTCAAAATCAGCTCATTGCTGGCCTTTCAGTGAGTTTTCACAGGAAGTAAATCACACAGGAGGAGACTACCCATCTTTCTCCTGTCGAGCAGCTGGTGGATTTGAACCACATGTCTTTGAACTGGCAGTGCAATGTAAACCAGCTATATTAAGAATGGAGAACCAAACTCACTGCTATTGAGTTGATTCCTACCTACTTCTAGCAACTCTGTAAGACAAAGTGGAACTACCTTTAGCATTTCTAAGGCTGTAAATCTTTATAAAAGCAAACTGCTACAAATTTCTCTTGATGGGTTCAAACTATTGACCTTTCAGTTAGTGGTCCAGTCTCTTAACCAGTGCACCATTCTTTCTCAAAATGGAAGGGAGAGGATATTAGAAACTTTATTTTTCAGCCAGATATCATCTTTACTTCCAGGTGTCACTTTTCTTTATGGTGCAGTTAGCACTCAAAGCAGGAATTGATGTTGGTTTCAAAGGTTTAAACCCCTTGCCTCCTGCCCATCCTCATCCACAGACTTCACAGATCCATTGTTCTTCCTGCCTTTGTAGCTTCACAGTCTTTCTTCTGCCAGGATACCCAAACCTCTTTAAAGTGTACTTTCTTCAGAAATTTTTTTCCCTGATTTGTTCTTTCAAAAAGAGCCCTGGTGGCTTAGAATGTCAGTGGCTCAGTGGTTCAAGGGTCAGTGGTTCATATCTACCACCTTCTCAGAAAAATGAGTCAGTCTGTTTCTGTTGAGATTTATAGCTGCAGAAACCCTGTGGAGGGTGGCCATGAGGCCAAATCTATATGAGGGCAGCAGCTTCTGGGTATGGATTCTTTCTAAGGCGGATGTTGTTGTTAAGTACTATCGAGTAGACTACATCTCTGAGTGACCTTATGAACAATAGAACTGAATTTTGCTCTGTCATGCACCATTCTCACAATCTCTGATGTGCTCAAACCCTTTGTTACAGTCACTATATCAATCTATCTTGTTGGGGATTGTTGTTGTTATGTGTTTTGAGTCACCTGCGACTCATAATACAATAGCCCTAAACCCTGCTCTATCCTATGCTGTATCCACACACTTACCTCCATTACCCCAGTCACTGAACCAATCCATCTCATTAAGGGTCTTCCTCTCCTGCGCTGTCCCTCCACCCTCCCAAGCAGACGTCCCTCTCCAAGGACTGGCCCCTCCTTGCAGCATGTCCAAAGTATGTCAGATGAAGCTTCAGAATCCTTGCCTCTAAGGAGCAGCCTGATCTCATCCTCTCTAGGACGAATCTATTTGTTCTGTTGGGGGTAGGGTATAGTAATACATATTTTTTTACTTCCTATTATATTTATAATATTTCTTGTACAGTTTGGTAGATATTCCCCATCCCCCTGCTTAAACAGACACAAAACTGTGCTGCAGTCCCGAAGGCACACAGTTTGAGGCCCCCACCTGCTCCATAGGAGAAAGATGGGCAATCTCCTCCTGTGCAGTTAACTGCCTCTGAAAACCTGGCAGGAGGCCAGCTATCAGTTGGTTCTGACTGTACAGTACACAACAACAGCATTACTGTTTAGTAACAGGGACCAGTCTTTGGAGGAGGACATTATGCTTAGAAGGAAAGAGGAACAGCACAGAAGAGGAAGACCCTGGATAAGATATATTGACACAGAAACGGGTAATGGAGGTACATGTATTGGAGACAGTGTGATTGACTCAGGGTAGAGCAAGGTTCAGAGCTGTTGTACATAGGACCTCTATGAGTCCCAATTGACTTGAGGGCACATAACAACAACATTACTATCCAGGACTTTAATGTCAGATTTGGATTTGAACTTTGGCACTGCTCCTTCCTATTTGCATTGCTTATGGACAAGTGTTTAAATTGATCTATGCCTCAATTTTCCCACCTATGACAAATGGCCTCCGTGATTTCACAGAGCTATTGTGAAGATTAAAGGAGATAATTGTAAAGCACATTTCCTGACAGAGTAAAATACTCAATAAGTGGCTGTTATATTGATATTTGTGATTTCAAGTCACCCTAGTCATATCATCTGAACATTTGTGACTGTATAATTATAGGATCTCAATGACTAGGGTTTTGGG